TCCAGTAAATGTGAGTACTGATATATCGTTGATTTGTAACTTTTATTTATATTTTTTTTTTTTTGTGCTCCGTACCGATATATTGAATTAATCCATTTGCAACTGACTTTTTCAGTTTACTCTTATAATGTGCTGTTACACCACTGTCCAAGATTAGGGGAGGGCTGAGCGCTCGCAAATATGTTTAACCTTGGCATGTTATTTATGTCCTTGTCCCTAGTCGGGAGCCTGTTATTCAGTGGTTATCGTCGGTTGTCGGTCATATTTGTGTGTTCTTTATTGTGTATATATGAATAATTTAGTTTTGATGTAACGCGTCTTCTGATTGGCTGACGTTGTTTTGTTTATCAGCTCATAGACATATTTTTGTCATGTGACCGTGACGTCATCAACGTTTTTTTATGGTTTACTATGGTTTAAAATGGAATTTAGAATTAAATTATAAGAAATGACTAATATTTTTCTGTCTATTCGAAATAACACAAAAAATGTGGTGCACACTTTAAAATTATTCAGTGTGCACCACATTTTTGATGTTATTTCTTCATAGACAGAAAAAAATATTACAGTCATTCCTTAAATAATGTTTAATTATATTTGTTTTTGATAAATCTGATTGTTTTTCAATTTTCTTATTGTTTGATTTTGTACAAGAGTTGTATTCTGAGAAATAAATATAGTCAAATTATATATTTAAATTAACTATATATTCAGATATTTCTTTTTATATGCATTAAAGTAAATATTATTTGTACAACAGTAATTTGAGAACATGAATATTGAAAATAGAATAATCCTCACAACACGCATATATATGACATAAAAAATTAAAAAAAAAATTTTTTTTTTCATTTTTTTTATCAGTGTTAGTTCATACACTATTTTTATGTTGTACAAACGTTGTTTTTAGTACTTTTTTTTAAATTTCAAAGTCAGTATTTTTTTTTTTATAAAATGTAATAAAACAAAAACCTTCTTATTTAGAATATGTAAAATGCAACAACTTTTGATGTGTATCCTATGAACATGAATTATGCTTCATATTATTCTAGGAATAAAACTTTATAATTTCTTTGTATTATGGTTATGTTTAATTTTTTCAAGTGAGATTTGCATCAACACACACTACATTTTTACAATTATTCCCTCCAGAAAGAGGTGATATTTCTTTTTTCATCGCGTCAGTTGTCCGGCATTTTGTAAATATTTCTTTAAAAACATCTTTCGAAAACACTTTGCCACTATAGGCTGATTCAGTAAACAAAATAAATTAAATTAAACATGGAAGTAAATGCTAATGACTCAGCATATGTCGTCTATCATAATTGGTTTTTTTATTCAAATTTCCTGACAAAATGTTGGCAATCAGATAACATTGTGACTTTTATGTACTTCCATGTACATACAATTTCATTAATTTTTTGTTCTGGGAAAAACTTCGAGAAAAATTTAGATTCTTTTAACATTAAAATTATCATTTTCAATTTTCTATGATAAATAAGTTAAAACAACCATTGCCGTTATAGGATTAAGTCAGTGTTATTAATCCTCCTATAGGTGGCTGTTGTGTCAACCTGTATTTCTTAAATAGCCACCTTTTATTTCTAAAGGTTAGATTTTTTAATACAATATAATTTTCAGCGGATAAGTGGATACATCTGTAAATGTCTGTGGCTGTTTGTCAGTGGTGTGCGAAATTGATGTATTGGATAAATATTTCCTGTCAAAGCATATACACATAAGGACAAATTCTGAATTTGTTAATATCATTGACTAATCAAATAAGGTCTGGTATGTCAAACAGATACATTATATGCCTGGATATCTTGGCAATCCATTTATCCCAACATCCACCTTCCAATAAAATTTACAAATCACAAAACATTAAAATAGCCACTGAACATAACCAGATGACAACTTTTAGACTGACATGTTTATCTGCAAAATTACTCGTGTAAAACATATTTTTGTCATACTATTCACACTTGAAAAAAAAACCACAAAAACCCATAAAAACCTCAATATAGCTACTTGGTAGCGAAAATTACTAATTGGTTGAGTGTTGATTGCTAAACATCCAATGGCCACCTTTAACACAATATATAAATTCTAAAAGATGTGACGCCAGAGATGAAGGGCTGGACACCTAGAGAATAAGGGTACACTGAATACTAGAAAATATGCTTTGCAACAGGCTACCTCCGGATCCCTCGTGATGTTGTTGCAAGACTTCTTTAACGTGCACTCTCCCTACTCAAGACATTTGATTTAACGTCGCCATTCCAATCGGACTTCGCTATAAATTTATACATCCCGCACAACCAAACGAATGTCCAACTTTAGCTAGGGCTTTACTGCCGAAACAGGTAAATCCTGGGGTGACCATACGTAGTTAATGTCAAGGTAAAGCGACACTTAATTGAGTCTTTTTCTTCTGATAGCCATCCTTGTTAAAACAGTTTATTAATATGGTAGTTATAGATATTGATTTCAATAAACCCAATATCCTCCTAAATCTATTTCACAAAAGCGGCAATTTGAAAAAAAAAACATCTTTAAATCTTTACTTAAATTCACAGTTTCAGAGCTCCAGGGGTGTACTTATACGTTCTTACAATAATATGGCTAATTTTACACAGATTATCGGACCCAAGTTTTGAAAGCCTGAAGATTGCAAAAAATGCAAGTGTGTCAGATTTAAAGTTTTAAAATATGTATCCTCAAAATGTAAAACCAATTCATAATATGTAATTTATACTGTATCAGTAGTCAGTGGCATAGCTTCCATATTGAGGCAGTGAGGCAACCGCAACTTCTGACAAAGAAAAAAAAATAGATTAGGATAAAGATGAATAAAATGTACAACCTTTATTCAATTAACGTTATTATGAGCGGAGATGGTTTCAAACATTATACTTCTCTGGCCTTTACACAAGTATTCATCATTATTAGCTTGAAGACAGAACGATATCTTTAGCCCAAAATTGTTTCATTTAACTTTGATAACCAAGGTAGATACAAAAATATATATACGGACAAATAATACTTTGTCAAACCCTGATTCCAACAAGAATTTAGGTTTGAAATTAACGGTGACATTTAGTTGCTTTAACGGTGACATTTAGTTGCTTTAATCCATGTCATTTTAACTCCGATGGGTAGAACTTTGTCTCATTGGCAATCATATCCTATCTCCTTATTAAATAATCATGTTTAATTTTTTATTGACAACATATTTGTTACGTCTGAAGTTTTTTTTTTTCTCACAACAGACAGTCTGTATACGTATGAGAATAAAGTGTGCTCCCCTACTCGCTGAAACATAGAGAGATAAGTTACCAAAGGGACAGGCTGGCGTGTTCCTTTATTCATATGAATCAAGCTTCATATTTCATCCAGTTATAAGATAGCCATTACATGCTTCTTTGCAAAACCTCAAACGTATGAAGCTATAAGATATAGCTTATCTTAAATTTTAACAGCAAGAGACATTTTTAGCAGTGCTTATGACTCCGCTCCGCCAGTAACTCTTGTTTAATCAGGACCTGCCTTGGATTGGTCAAATATATCGGTTTAATGCGCGTTGGGAAATGGCATTATATCATGATAAAAAATACCACATACCTATATTTTTCATAGACAAGACATTTATTTTTTACGAAGTGCTTCGTTGAAATTTTCCATACCTTCTAAAAAAAAAGAGAGAAGAAGAAGAAGAAGAAGAAGAAGAAGAAAAACAGTAATCTTGTATAGAGTACGTACTGGTACATTCCGCAAACGAACGCCCTTTCAGCAAAGGGTTTTCCTCCACACGGGAGAAATTTTATTAGATGACCATATATCTACAACGCAGTCCTAATTGTACACAGGATTAAAATAAAATAAGTAGATACTTATATTCATGATCCTGAAAAATTATATTCTTGCAGTCTCGTAATATTATATTTTGACAAAGAGGATTTGGATACTTTTACATAAATATCAACTGCGTTGAATTTATAAATGGAATCACAAATGTTAATTGCTGCGGGTTTTTTTTTTCTCTTTTTTTTTTTGGGGGGGGGGGGGGGGTAGGCTGACTGGATAGTTCACACAGCGGCACACCATTATTGTCTATGAAAAATCTATGGAATTTTTATCACGAAACAATAGCATTTTCCAATACGTGTTAAATCAATACATTCTAATGAAACTGCTGGTTAAATTCTAATTCTCAGTATTCAAATATAGACAGGTCCCGATCAAAACAAACATAACGGTAGAGAAGTCAAATGCTTGGAAACATCTTTACTGTATATTCTATCATGACAATGAAAAACGCGTTTCATATTTTATCTCCATTTATCTTTTATTTTTTTTTTGTAATGCATTAGTTGGGGCAGTTGTCTCATTGCCTCAAGGGAAGCTACGCAAAGTACTGTCATTGATTGATGTCGCCAAACTTGTAGTGTTTTCAGTAGAGTTTGGTAAGTTACTAAAGTTCTTGTTATCCAAAACCATCACGAAGGGTTGAAATCATCAGCAACTATTATTACTAGCTCGGTCTAGACTGTCTTCCAGTTCTGCAGTGCTTTCTTCATTTGGTGATTTTTGGTTATAATATCGTGATAGATACGGCGGGTTGATTTATTGTTTATCTCTTCTGAAAGTTGTCTACTTAGCATTTTATTAAAAATACGTATATCTCCCTGATCTTTTTATATATAGTTAAGAATCTTAAACAACAAAAACTCCTTATGTTGAATATGTAAAGGCACTACGGCTATCCGTTTAAATAAGATAAATCAGGTCAAAACGTAAAAGATAATTGTTAAAGTAAGAAAATGAGTTGTAAATTGGTTTAATTATATTTGTTTAAGTTGTCTGTATTAGTATTTGATAATACCAAATGTAAAACAATGTTGAATAGATTTCACTACCATTTTATGATGATTTTTTTTTGTGAGGCGTTTGCGGACTTGACAGACATATTTTTTATTTTTTATTAGACGGAAGTAAAATTTAGAAATTCGATACATCCGGATTTTGGCGTATCTATGTTCAACAACGAGGGTCTACGTGACCTGACGCAGTTTTGTTCATTTCGAAATGCCTTCTCCACCGGACAAAGGTGGTACGGGAGAAAACGAAGTGAGAAGGAGAAAGACGAGAAGCCAGAGTAAAACAGAAACCAATAATGGTCAGAGTCAGCTCGATTCTGAGGAAAGAAATGGAACTAATCAGGAAGTAGATGATCAAACTACAGAAAGTCCACCAGCTACATCCGATCCGACCGAACAACAGACCCAACAGCAACAATGGCAGCCACAACCATTTTACCAGGAAGTCCTTGTGGTTCCTCCAAACAGAATTATATTTGCTATTCCAAAATGGGTTGTTTACATAGGAACAGCTATCATTGGCATCATATTTGTAGCTCTTGGTGGGTTTGTTGGAGACAAAATTTACAAAACTTACTTCTTTCCTGGTCAGATGTTACCGAACATGACATTTTCAGCTGTAGGAGATGAAGGATGGGAATTTTTCAAGAAATATGACCGTGATGGGGATCTCAAATTGTCCCTTGATGAATATGAAACTCTATATCATACTCTTATAGCAAGTGGTATTAATGTACGTTATTAAATGAAATATGCACAATTATAGAAAAAAAGGATGAAAAAACATCATAAAAACATTTTATTACTGCTAAATAGATATGAAATCACACCACACATGTCAAATACATTTTGCTCATTGTTGATTTGACTGTGACATGTAGCTCAGTGCCGAATTGACCATAGGGACTTGACTACAGGTCAAATATGTAACCATTAATAGCCTACACACATTTAGATAAAGTATATCCTATTTTCTGCATTGGTTTTGGATAGAAGGGTATGCATTTTTTTAATGCATGTAGACAATGAACATCAACGACTATAGATTTGACCTGCAGTCAGTTTTGCTAGGTTCAGGAATGTTAACATACAGGTCGGTGCATAAAATTGAAACCATAACAGGAAACTAATAATTTACATTAAGATATACATGTATATAAGGCATTTGTAAAGATGGGTTTTAAGCAATACTAAGGGCATAGAGGAGCCACCAAAAGCAGAAATAAATTTTTCAAAGAATAACACAAATACAATGAAAATTAGTAATTCATAAAACCTTCATGTTCATTTGTATGAATATATATGATAAATATACACAAATAACCATCAGATGCAGACTTTACTACAATTTTATTATAATTTATTTTATAGGTAACAACTGATCTTCAGTATAAGGCAGATTATACTGTAGGCAAAGATGAGCAGACCATAACAATGCAGGCCTACTTCCAACCTCTACTGCTGGAAACCATGAACACCAATCTTAGTGATCCAGTATGTCATTCTATACTACTAGAAATCAGAAATATATCTGATATTTCAGGGTTCACAGGGACTTTAAGTATTAACATGATTAAGCCCTATGTTTTTAACCATGGCTATCTTTTGCATATTATTAGTCAATGATAAATACACTACTATCATGACTATTCTTACTATTATATACTGACTGTCAACATGTTTATAATTTAGCCAAATCAGTACAAAAATAATCTCAAACTATTCATTATTTCAATATTTGAACAATAGCATGTAACGGAAGAAAAGCTTTTAAACTTGTGAACGGTGCTTTCCAGCATTTTTATTCCCCACACTAGTGACTACAAAGTGATTGGTTTACAGTGTTTTACCTGTCCTTCATTCAGTCCGTCAGTCATTTTGGTGAACATACTAATGATGGTGAACTAATGAACAACAGCTATTCTAACTAATCCGCTAAGCTCGGCCCACTCTGGCTCACATAAACATAGTATTGACTAGTATTAACCATGTTAACCACAGCTATACTGACTCGTGCAAGAGTGCTTTTCCCACAATAAATTATTTTAACTCTACATGTTTGTCATTTATGTCGAAATAAAGAATTTTAATTATCAAAGAACATTCAGAAATTTTTTAAGAAAGTATAATTATTTTGAATATTTGTACCAAATGTTCATTATATATTCTATCAGTATGAAGCATATTTAAACAGGTTAAATTAAACCTTATTTTGTGCCTGTACCAAGTCAGGCTATTTGCACAATAGGTTATTTTGTTATTTGTCTTTAAAAAGTTTGTTGTACATCTTTTTTTATATCGTGTATTTAACAGTTAAAATATTTTTGTTAACCTCCGACATTAATTTCCTGTCATCTTTTTTTCATTGTTTGTATAATATTTCAGTCGGAACAGATTGATTCATTAAAAGGCCTTCAGGAATGGAAAACCCCAAATAAGGAGACGACAGACTTTGGAGTGACACAGTTCAAAGGATTCTTACCGCCAAATAACTCCTTTATTGACGAACCAGGAAAAGTTTACCAAATTTGGAACATTAATAGTACCAGCCTTCCAGACATCCCAAGTCATAGGTCCAGTAATAAGTGGCTACCACCTAGAGTCGAGGATGAATTAGTTGTGATACACCAACTTCTGACCATGTTCCATCCCCGTCCATTTCTAAGGTCTAGATTTCCACCACAAGGGGGCGTGGCAAGTGTCCGGGCATACAACAAGGAATATCTAGATATAAGTTTCAGGTATATTTTTCAACAAGAAAAGCGAAACAAAAAGTAAATCACACAAGTCACACAAGTGGAGTTCAGTTTGTAGATATTAAAGAGATAGTATCTACAAAAAATAATTTTTGAGGTGAAAACTGAAATTCATGTACAGTTGTATACATGTACATGTATGTGGTAATTTTATAGATCAATATGAATGAAAACATATGTTTCATGTCATTTTCTACTCTCATGAAAGTATTTAAGAGCAGAGAACATTTGTTAGACCAAAGCTCATTATGTAAGATTGCACATTATATCAGCTGAAAAAATTATTTAATTATGCAGGAGTTCCTAACTTCCTACATGTAGATTGTAGCGGTTTCATTTTGGAGGTTGAAAAAGTGGTATGGGACTTTTTTTATAGGCATCTGCCTTATATTTCTCACAGATGAGTTGAGCAAATTGGATGATTTCAACAGATGTCCACTTAAAATATATAATTGACCTCTTTTCCATTTTTTACCACCTCACCCTGATGAAAAACCTATGGTTCCTTGCAATTGACATTGACATTACCAATAAGCTGATATTTCATGCAGACAATGGAAATTTTGATTCCATACATGCCTTTCTTTCTGAGATAGTTGCATGGCTTATGTGCGTAAAGACTTGGAGAAAAGGACAATATACTTTTCATTCAATTACAGTTTTTCACAAAAAAATGTTACGACAATAATTGATCGTAAAGTAATACTGAAATGTTCATAACTTGCAAGTATTTTCTCGTAAGAATTTTTGTGAGATGAGTCACTGAACTACCGTATTAATGTGTTAGGTAACTGTAAATTGTATTTTTTATTTTTTCGGCTTTAGATTACATGCTGAGTTCCAATTAAGTGAACCACCAAACAATCCCATGTGGTTTACACCAGCACAGTTTACTGGGAACCTCATCATCTCAAGGGATTACAAGAAAATCATATACTTTCATATGTATGTCCCTACAGATAAAAAACTGAATGTGGGTGAGTAATCAGATACTAATGGCAAGCTCCTAGGAAACCACATTTTACAAGTTGATTATTTACATTTATCAGGGGTTAAAAAAATTTGTTACAGCTCACTAGCCCAGGACTTATTGGTAGCAGGATTTTACTAGCCCTGTTGAAAGAGCTGCTAGCCCATCAAAACTGACCTGCTAGCCCGAGTACACCTTACAAATTTAGAGTGGGTGTCCCTTGTTTTGAATGCGGCATTATACACGGTATTTGATAAAATAAATCAAATAAATTTTTGTTTTATTAATTATAACAAGGATCTCTAGACATCTTTTTGGATATCCCTTGTACTATGGGTTGTTAAATATTTTCAGGCACAGAAAACATGTTCATTGATCTTGTCATGTGAAACCAGTGGTTCAATTCGTATATTTGTTGTTCTCACATATGCATACAAAGCAGACTTTTTATCAGCGTGATCAGGAAAATAACGGCAATATTCACAAAACATCATCTCTTGTTTATCATCAGTAACAGTCGACCTTGCCCATGGGGAATCTTTCTGTCCATGACACTATAAATGTTTTTTTCCGCTTTTCCTGGTCGTATTTGGCATTTTTTGGGATAAATTTTCAGCCTCATTACCCCCTTCATCTACCGTTTTTCGTTTTGAAACTGACAAAGTTTCTATGGTGGCCGTACTAAAATGTTTAGAAATAATTTGTGCATGGTTTCAAGCTCAAATTAACAGCTGTCCGACAAGACAGGTCAATATCGATCATTACATCATACACCCAAGTACCATTAATTGAAAATCTCGTCATAAGCAATGTACAATACCCCCTGTACTGAGAAATTGATATTGAAAGTACGTGAATTGCGATCAATACATGATACCGGTCCACCCAGAGTTAGTTGTTCTATTTTTAAAACATGTACAAAATCGGTTCAAATTCTTGAAATCCCGGATGACGTACGTAATTGAATCTGATTGGCTAAGATAGAATAGTGATGAGGGGATTTTCCACTTACTATTTTGGAAATGCCAAGAATTGTTTGTTACTAGTCCGTCGGGCATATTCGGTTACAAGTTTTAATTGCCCGAAGTGTAAAAGTCTAGTCCCGGGCGTCGGCTAGTGGATTTTTTAACCCCTGATTTATACTAGAAACCAGGACTAAAAACAACTATAATTATGATAATAACATTACATATATGTTTCATGCAGATTCATTATTTATAATGGCAGGCAGCTATCACATGGGATTTTTCACCGTTTTTTAAGTAATTTTTTTTTGTTCTATGACAAACATGCGAACCAATTTTTTCAAAAAAACCTATGGAATGCTTGATTTAACTAGCAATTTCCTAATTTTAGCATCAAAATGCTATAATAAGAAGTGAATGCTTCCTGTTTGTAGTTTCATAGGGTTCATTGACCCTGCAAATCATTGCACATATTTTTATTATGATGTGCTTCCACAACGGTTAATCAAGATTTTGTTTTCTTTATTTTAAAATAATTAGACTATGGATACAAAAATATCTATTTTTGTCATTTAAAAACTTCTGTTTCTGTTTATGTCAAATCATAATTACTTAATATATATATATATTAAAAAAATTTCAGACATGGAATGGATAAATGATGTTCAGACAGCAGCCGCAATGCAGGTAGACATTGGATTCATGCCACAAATGGAGATGAATATGGTCAGCAAGTCAAAAGATTTGGAAAAGACAGTTAAAGGAATTAAATGGACCAAAGAAATTACTGAATTTGATGTTAAAAGGAAAATCGAGATCAAGATGTATCCATTTAAAGAGGTATATTATTGTACTTTGCCCATGTTTTAAAGTGAAACTGAGATGTATAGTGATCATAATATTGTTTGTTAACCTCTTCATTAGCTATTTGAATGCCATTCTTACTATAGCCCTTTCCAGAAACTAATTTCCAGAATTACAAATTTTACTCTAAAATTATATTTTTAAGTTGATTGGCTCCCTTTTCAGGAAGTAGAACTGCTTTGTGGCACTGAAGCTCATTGAAGAGTTACCAATTGGCAGTTTTTAATCCCTGTTGATTTAAAGATTATATTTGGTTAATATAAATATAAAAAAAATAATGGTAATTTGTGTTCCAACATACTCATAATCAAACTCGATTATCAAGTTGAAAATATTTGTAAATTAAAGTAACATATTGTTTTCTATTTTACTTCTCACCATTGCTCTGCACTGCAGTGAGCCAGTATTTATACTAGTATATTTCCCAACAAGGGAACTAATTTGTATAAATTTGTAATTTAAAAATCAAGATTCAGGCTTTCAGAAGTCAGTTTCTGGAAAATTCTATACTAGTGAGTTCAATGAAACATTAAGATAATCTGTAAAACACAATGACACATCCTTTTTTTATCTGAATGATTAAGTTCTTGTTTCCTGTTGTAAAAGATGGACCTTGTCAAATTCATTTAATTTCATTTGAGGGCGAATTTCATAATGAACTATAGTTGCTAACTTTTAGTCATTTGGTCTTTGGTGGAAAGTTGTCTCATTGGCAATCATACCACATCATCTTATTTTTTTATCATGATTTCTGCTCACAACTATGCTAATGTACTGATCATTTTAGAATGTAACTGAATTTGATCTAAACTCTATAGGTCATCATGACTGATTGCAGGATTATTCTTACCATTTCAACCCCAAATTTAAAGGTCTTTTTGGGGGAAAATTTTGTATAGCATCAATATTGATACATTGATATGGTTGTTTGAATCCTGCTAAAAATAACATAATGCTACCTGTTTAACCTAAACCTTCAGGAATCCTTAATCCTTTTTAATACTGTGGATACATTTAATTTCATGGATATCAACTTTCATGGATTGAGGAAAAATGGATATTTGATTTTGTGGTTTTGTGGTATTGTCAAATAGAAATAAGAAGATGTGGTATGAGTGCCAATGAGATAACTTTCCATCCAAGTCACAATGTATAAAAAGTAAACAATTATAGGTCAAAGTACGGCCTTCAACACGGAGCCTTGGCTCACACGGAACAGCAAGGTATAAAGGGCCCGGAAATGACTAGTGTAAAACAATTCAAACAGGAAAACCAACGGTCTAATCTATATAAAAAATGAGAAACTAGAAACACTTAAGAACCACATCAACAAACGACAGCCACTGAACAACAGGTTCCTGACTTGGACAGGTGCAAACAAATGCAGCAGGTTTAAACGTTTCAACAGGCGCCTTCACCCTAACCTGAAATAGTAGTGTAACATTACAACATAGAAAGACACACTATAGACTGCATACAAGCAAATAGAAAATTTGCACTTCGTTTCAAATTTTAATTCATAGTTTACCATTACCACCGAAATCAACAAAAAAAAATGTATCCCACGAAAAATAATGAATCCACAGGTATCAAATCTTTATCAGCACATCGTGTGAATGTTATTTAGAAATTTAAATGTGCCAAACCAAACAATTTTTATATTCAAGCAAAAATCTTCATTTCTGCAGGGTTTGTTTAAGGCAGGTTCCACTGTTTTTTTCTTATTGGAAAATAATTAATGTTGCTATAATAAAGATATTTTTACTTTTTACAGAAAAATTAAAGGAAAAAGATTATCATTAAAAGAAAATTTTGATTGGCCTTCAAATACATTGGTTCAAAAATGTCAACAACTAAAACTTTTATGGTTTGATAAGCTATTCCTAATTTTATTTTTGTTTTGCTTGTAGGTGCCATACTTCAATTTCACTGACTCCTTTGAAAGAGCACAAAAGGAAGATAAACTAGTGCACTCTATTTTACTTTGGGGTGCGCTAGATGATCAGAGTTGCTGAGGTTCGGGGCGGACACTCAGGGATACTTCCCTGGAGAGTCCGCCCGTTGTAGCTCTCCTTAAAGAGAGCTATATCAGTAACTGGGCACTTGTTGCTGATTTGCAGGTAATGAAATATGCTGTGAAATTCAGTAACAAAACATTTGGGGTATGCAATAAAAAAAAATGCCACTGGCTTGGTAGCTATATCTTCTAAGCCTAAAATCTACATTTGAGTTTAAACAACACAGAACAGTGACAGAGAGGCAGAAGATACCAATGGGTTATTCAAGCTCATAAATCTAAGCCAAACTGACTACACCATTTTAAAATAACGAACACAAACAACCAAAAGACAACAGTCTACAAAACACAGCAATTAGGCCGTTAGTTTTCTCGTTTGAATTGTTTTACATTGTCATTTCTGGGCCTTTTATAGCTGACTGTGCGGTATGGGCTTTGCTCATTGTTGAAGGCCGTACGGTGATTTATAGTTGTTAATTTCTGTGTCATTTGGTCTCTTGTGGAGAGTTGTCTCATTGGCAATCATACCACATCTTCTTTTTTTATATAAAAAACTATTTAAAAGGTGAACGTTCTTTAGATCATATCCATGCTAATGTCAAGCAATTTATTAGCAATATATGTACTCAAATGTACAAGTTACATAATGATGTGTATAACCATACTTGTCAAGAAAACTATTTTATTAGAAATTACATGTAAATATGTGCATGTTCTAAAAATAATTGCAAGTTCAACTACAATTATGAACAAAGGAAGATAACTCAAATTCAATATATATATCTTTTATTTTTTATTTGAGGGTTCATTAGCACTTCAATTTTATGGTTTTATGGAGATGTAAGTTGCATCCAAAAGATATATGCAAAACTTAAGTCCTATATTATTATACTTGATGTTAAGATTCAAATTTGTATTGGTTATAACAAAGGTAACATACTGCTCTACATGCATGGCTCAGCAGAAAACAATTTTTAAATGTTACCCTCTAGTATTAACTAATAAAAAACTTGCAAACCAAAAATCAATAATCTAAAATATGATAGTAACAGATCCTTGAAAAAAAATAATAATATATAGTTGAGAGGGTGATAAAGCAGATTGCTTTTTCTCATACAAACAATGTTTTAAGTTTTTTGCAGGGTTTCAATCTGCTCTACCAAAAAAAATGTCAAAAGCACTTCATTCTTTCGGTGTGAAAAGTGTTTTATTAAAATGATATGCATTCCAATCAGAAGATAACATTATAAGAAAATACGGTGCTTTTACTTATAGACAAATTTAGTATCGTATTGCAGCACCATTGCTTTAATGATATAATAAGAAATATTGTTTGTGATGAAAAATATGATAAATATACATATATAATAATATTTATTCATGATTGACAGGAACTTGAGAAAGATCCTCATCAGCCAGTGTACAGTAAAACAGCCAGTCATTTCTTACAGAATTATAAATTCCCAGTCATGATGTATCTGGCATTAAAAAATGGTACCATCGTACACAGGGTCAATGCTAATGATTTCATGCACTCACCAGAGGGTGAATACAGTGTATCAATGATGGACTCTTTTTGGCAGCTATTGTAAGTATGACGAGATGACTAGACTTTTAATGAATTTTACTAGGTTTTTATGTCCGAAATTTGTAAAAAACTAAAATTTTCAAAGAAAAAGGAGATGTAGTATGATTGCCAATGAGAACTATCCACCAGAGACCAAATGACGAGGTTGTGGGTGGATTTTGGAAGCCCTCTCAAACCTTTCTTTACCCATTTTAATGAAACAGCTATGTGGACAGTAACTACTGTAAATTCAGAAATTATTGCGAGCATTTATTATTGCAATTTTGAAGAATAAACGAAAATACAAGATTAATTATTGCGATTTCAGGAAAATTTCCATACAGATGTATGTTTCAAATATCAAAATGCGAGTTCTTATTTTTGCGATACTCACACAGTCGCATTATTCGCATTAATAAAAACCTCGCAATAATTTCTGAATTTACAGTAACAATGAGACAGTTTTAAACACATTTGCACACAGAAATCATGAATGTTGATTTTTTTGATTCAGAAATTCATGATTAACCTTTTAACATGAAACTCTTCACATTTCATTTATTTATTGGATGATTAGTGGATTTTTCTCCTAATGTTAGCACAAAAATTATTTATCTATTGTACATTACAATTTCTGGCACTGAAATAAAAGCAGAAAGAATAAGCAATTGTTATTTATTCTTTGGCAGGTATGGAGATGAAGGGTTGATACCTACAAGGAAAGTAACAACACAACGTCCAGAACTGTTCCGTGAGAAGAGGTTAGAAAAAAGAGAAGAAATCCCACCGTAAGTTGACGAGTATTACTGTTGTGATTCATTTATTTTTGTATGTACCAATTTTCATGGATTGAGGAAAAAATGTATTTCCGTGGGTATGTGGTTTTGCAAAAGTCTGTTTACAAGTCTATATATGTTATTGCGTGGGCGGGAATTTGCCCCAAAGTTGGTCATCAGGTGCAAAAAGTGTCGTTTTTGACGATTTTTCGTCCTTTTTCTTGACCCCAAAGACCGAGGGATGCTGATATAGGTATCCAGCTGTAGTCTGCATGTACAGTGGACCCTAGTAAACACATTAACCCCAACAGTTCTTAGGTTGGAGTGAAATTGATCTGGGAACACCAGTCTAAAGAAGGTCATTTGGACAAAAAATACGGAATTTCACAATTTTTTCTGATTTTGGACTTCAACTGGACCTGAAACCGGAAGTAGTCGTTTCCTCTGCGTATTTCAATAAAACTTAAGATCAGTAGATATATGCCTGCGGGTTTACACTATTTTTGAAAGTTTTAGGCCTCTGAACTTCCTGTGTAAGACACAGGAGGGAAGCCCACTCCTCCAGAAAAACCAGTTTTATCCGATTTCAATTTTCCAAGTTCGTATTTGAGCTCAAAATGCAACTTAAACATGAGAAACATGACAATAGATAGCCTCAGGTTGAGGGAACATGCATCAATTTTGAAATAAGTATCATAAAGTTGACCTCTAAAAGTATGGAGAGCCATTGGAGCCAAATAACGGTGGTTTGGGTCATCTCAGCATGGTAAGGGTTAAAAAAAGAGTCTGATACTGTGGATTTATTTGTTTTTGTTGGGTACCAATGTTTGTGGACTTGATGTCCTGGTTTTTTGAAAATTCTGCGAACAAGCCTTAAGGAATTTGAATTTCTTTGGACTTTTGAATTTGTGGTTCATGTTTACCCATAACATCCCCAAATATTAGTACCGGTACCTCATGAATAAAAATGAAACCATAGTAGTTAAAATAGAGTTCTCAATTTTAATATTTTGTTTTGTATCTTTTCAGGGAACATACAAATGAAGAGAAATATTTACAATTTTTAAAGGAGGGAGTAAGAAGAGCTCAGAATTATTTGTAACCATGACAGGTCTTAGTTAGAGGAATGCTGTGATAATCATGTGTTAAAAGAATAAACATTGCAATAACCATACATTCCAACCTTTCATTTACATTCCATGCAAATATGAAGTTTTTAGATTTTTGATATGTTAAAGAATCATGAAATATATGCTGTATAAGAGTTTCATATAGCATCAGAAGAGATTTAGTTTAAAGGTGTATGATGTTATGACCAAAAATTTTGATCTCAATGAATTTCAAGAAGTATATTTGCTACAATTCATGCATACATTCACCTTTATCTAAGTGTATACTGCAGATAGCTCCAATGTTTTCATATATTTAGAAAATTTTGATTAATTGAAGCAGAATTTATCATTACCTGATTACTGTAAATAGAAAATCATGAATTTATTCCTATTTTCATGTTGCCAAATATCTAAACAAAACTACTAGTTATTGTCAAGAATTTGCAGAAAATGATTTTTGTTGAACATTTGACAAACGTGTGATAAATGGTTGTGTTTTTAGGAAATGCTATCAAAGTATAAAATGTGAGTTTTTATTTTTGCGAATTGCAACACCTTTTGCAAGCAATTTTTGCAAAAATTAAAGCATCCCAAAAATTTCAGAATTTACGGTATTTGATTATTTCTAGAAAAACAGAAGATCAATGTAATTTTATATATAGATTGTTAATTTGTTTGTTGTCATGGCAACTATAGATACCTAAATAAAGGCAGTATTTAAATAGCTTAAATACTTATTGGTTGATGATCATTTTACAGAATATTAGAGTTAACTAATGTGTGTCAAGGATGAATCACTTGCATAATATTCATTGGTTAAATTTGTCCGTAGTGTTAATGACTAATTTTTAATTTTTACTTTTTGTGGTCTTATACCTACTAAATTTGAAATTCTTTTAATTTCTTTGAAAGAAATTGTACCGATTGAAAATCAATTGAAAAAAACATTATATTTATCATTTTTCACAAAATAATATTTTATATAAAAATACCCTCTGTCTTTTTTCATTTTGAATGGCAAAATTTTAATCATGTTTATGATTATCATGTAAAAATGAAGTAAATGTATGCATACAGGTTTTTGATCATGAAATCCTATTTGAACCATTTGTGATATCTAATTGTTAGAGGTGTACATTTGTTATCAAATATTTATAAAATGTTAATGATTCTCTTTTTGAGGCAATTATTCAAAATCATTTATTTTTTATACATTGTAGCATTGTATTATGTCATTTATACCTTATAATTAAGGTATAGAAGAAATTTTCTTGATGTATAATTTTGTTATGTAAATGTGTTTGATGTTTTTGTAATAGAAAAAAGTGTGTGCAGTTTTAAACCATTATTTTTACATTAGTCTTTTTAGGTGTTTGTAAGTGTGTTGGTTGTTAGTGTGGTTTGTCAAATATTATGGTAATTACTGCTAGCCTTTTGATGCATAATATTTTTATCTTATCACTACTTAGATCAGTAAGGAAATAATAGTTACTTTGACAACTTCTTGTTTGGGTCAAGTGTCGTAAAACCAAAGGTCATCAGTAATGGGCTGAGGGAGGAAAAAGTTTAGAAAGAGAACATTTTGAGATTTTTATAGTTTATGGTCCAAATTTTTTAATTAACATGTCTCTATGAAAATTTCTATACACAATACATTGTTTAAACAGGGCCCCAGAAAGCTTCATCTGGTTTGTGATGTCGTGAAAAAGTTGTGAAATTTCGGAACCTATCCAGATCAGAATAAATAGAAATGATGTGTATGAATATCACTTCAAATAATTGTGTGCCTTAAGAATTATTAGCAAACTTTCTCTCATATCAGTGCAATGAAAAATAATCTAGTATTTATTTTAACAAGTCTTTTTTAAATTTGCTTATTAAAAAGTAAACTTTGTCTTTTTTGAAAAAAAAAAAAATCTGATGAATTTTGAATGAACTGGATTATAAATATCAGTCTAAAACTTGGACTTCGGTTGTGTTTCAAGTATATTTCTTCTTTTAAGAGTTGAGACTTGAGCTAAGTGAAATAAAAGCAATTATTCTATAAAAAAATACCTTCGTAATTGCTCAAAATACCTCACAATCATTCATTGTCAATCAAATTTACTTAGTTTTATACATATCATCAAATCAATTTATATCTGCTTTGTGTTTTTGTACTAACATTTTATTTATGTTGTTTTAATTATTATTTTCAGTTGATTCATCTTCGCATGTAGTTTTATGTATTAATATTATACATGTAATGAAGGTCACATGTCAAAGTAGGTCACTACCAAATGGGACTTGATGTAATGTGTGTATTTTTACATTTAAATAAATTTGATGATGAATTTTCTGTTAATGTAATGTAATAAACAATGTGTTTTTAAGATTCAATTTTGTTTTAATTATATATGCCAAAATAATTTACATGTAATAATGAATTAAGGATGTTCGCTACTCTGTTTCAAAATAACAAGCTTTTTAAAAGACTGTTATAAATTGATAGTATATAAATAACTGAGCTTAAAAATCTGAAAAAAATAATAGGTCAGTGTCCTTGTTTTTGAGATAAAAGCAATTGAAAATTTGGCGGGAAATAATTCTCTCTAGATTTTTCATACATTTAACATTAGCACCTTTTTTCTTTCAAAAACTATGAAAAACTAACAAGGATTTAATAAAATTTTCAAAAATGGCTTTTTAAACTATATGTAATAAAATTATGAAAAGAAAAGTAGGGGTTAGTGGGCAAAATTTTTAATGGCACCACATGGATAAAACTAGAGGATTCCGAATATCTGACAAAACTTCAAAAACAAGAGTAGCGAACATCCTTAATTGAGATGCAGGTCAACAAAACAACATTTTTAAAAGAATGAAATGCATCTACAGGTCAACACAGGGTCTTAAAAAATGGCTGTGTGTCAAGCTCTAAATTACCTTGCTGGGGAACCATAACTCTAAGGTTCTTTTGATATTTATTGACAATTTGTGGATTATGGTCCGCAAATTGTCCAAAAATATCATAAGGACCTAAGAGCTACTGTTTCACAGCTATAAATTGCCCAGAGTGTAGAAAAGACTGCTGTTTGAAAGAATTGCCACCCACACCAAAATGACCAAATAATTAAGAATGATATAACAAAAAATGATGTTTCTTTTTTTTGTCCCCCGCACAACACGTTGCGAGGGACATGGAAATACTGGCGTCCGTCCGTCCAGTCTTATTAATTAGCGCTCTAACCTGTACAATTCTTACCAGTTTTTTATGAAACTTATATCATAGGTTCATATCAGCAATGTCCTGGACCAGTTCAAAAATCAGTGCCGATCAATAATTTTTAAAAGAGTTATGCTCCTTGGAAACATTAATTTTATGGAAAATTGCATCGTTAGTCCTCTCATATGTACAATTCTTGCCAGTATTTTATGAAACTTATATCATAGGTTTATATTAGCAATGTCTTGGACGAGTCGAAAATCAATGCTGATCAAGTATTTTTAAAAGAGTTATGCCCCTTGGAAATATTAATTTTATGGCAAATTGCATCATTAGCACTGTCATGTGTTCAAGTCTTGCCAGATTTTTATGAAACTTATATCATAGGTTTATATCAGCCATGTCTTGGACGAGTTCGAAAATCAGTGCCCATCAATTTTTTTTAAAAGAGTTTTGCCCCTTGGAAATATTAATTATACGGAAAATTGCCTTATGACCGCTCTTATGTGTACAATTCTTGCTAGATTTTTATACGACCGCAAAAAATTTTTTGCGTCATATAATGCTATCATGTCGTCGTCTGCGTAGTCCGAAGACGCATTTTGTTTCCCGACAATAACTTAAGTTTAAGTGTATGGATCTCTATGAAATTTTACCATAAGGTTCAATACCACAAAAGGAAGGTTGGGATTGAATTTGGGGGTTATTGGACCAACAGTTAAGGAATTAGGGGCCAAAAATAAGCATTTTTGTAACGTTTAGACAATAACTTGAATGTGTGTTAGTGTATGGATCTCTCTGAAATTGTACCACAAGGTTCCATATCACAAAGGGAATGCTGGGATTGATTTTGGTGGTAATTGCCTCAAAATTTTAGGAATTTAGTGGCAAAAAACAAGCATTTTTCTAGTTTCATGACAATAACTTGTGAGTAAGTGTATGGATCTTTCTAAAATTGTACTACAAGGTTCCATATCAGAAAGGGAAAGCTGGAATTGAGTTTGAGGGTAATTGCCCAAAACGTTTAGGAATAAGGGGCCAAAAATAAGCATTTTTCTAGTTTCCAGACATATAATTATTACTTGTGTTCAAGTGTATGGATCTCTCTGAAATTGTACTGCAAGGTACCATACCACAAAGGGAAGGCTGGGATTGGGTTTGGGGCTAATTGCCTCAAAATTTTAGGAATTGGGGGCCAAAAAGGGGCAAAAAAACAAGATTTTTCTAGTTTCAGGACAATAACTTGTGTGTAAATGTATGGATCTTTATGAAATTGTACTACAAGGTTCCATATCACAAAGGGAAAGCTGAGTTTGAGTTTGGGGGTAATTGCCCTAAACATCTAGGAATTTGGGCCAAAAAACAAGCATTTTTACAGTTTCCAGACAATAACTTGTGTTCAAGTGTATGCATCTCTCTGAAATTGTACTGCAAGGTACCATACCACACATGGAAGGCTGGGATTGAGTTTAGGGTGATGAATGATAAGGGGGTTCAAAAAATTGGGGGGGGGGGGGATTTTTTTCCTTTTTTTTTTCTTTAAAATTTTCCATTTTAAGTTGGTTATTTTTGATTTATATATAAAAGCAAATAATAATGATATGGTTTGATTTCATCAAAAATTGAAATATTGGGGTTCTTCGATATGCTGAATCTAACCGTGTATTTAGATTCTTAATTTTTGGTCCCGTTTTCAAATTGGTCTACATTAAGGTCCATAGGGTCCAAAATTAAACTTAGTTTGATTTTATCAAAAATTGAATTCTTGGGGTTCTTTGATATCTAACCGTGTATGTATTTAGATTTTGGATATTGGACCATAATAGGTAAATTAAAATTTTTTAAGTTCTTAGACCACATTCATTCTGTGTCAGAAACCTATGCTGTGTCAAATATTTAATCACAATCCAAATTCAGAGCTGTATCAAGCTTGAATGTTGTGTCCATACTTGCCCCAACTGTTCAGGGTTCGACCTCTGCGGTCGTATCAAGCTGCGCCCAGCGGAGCATTTTATTATGAAATTTATATTAAAGGTTTATATCATCATGTACTTGAAGAGTTAAAAAATCAGTGCCAATCAATTATTTTTAAAAGAGTTATACCCTTGAAAATATTGATCATTTGGAAAATTGCATTGTTATCGCTCTCATGTGTTCAATTCTTGCCAGAGTTTTATGAAACTTACATCGTAGGTTTATATCATCAAAGTCTTTGACACTTTCGAAAATAAGTTCTGATCAAATATTTTTAACGAGTTATGCCCCTTGGAAATATAAATAATAATGGAAATCACATTGCATTTTTGAGACAGACACATGCAAATGTGGCATGACTTAACTCATATAGAACATCAATAAAGATGCACCATTTTTCAAAATTTTCTTCGTCCAGATTTTGTTAATAGTATAGATTTAAAAGGGCAAAGACGTGATTATAAAAAAATTGCTAAAATATTTGAAAATCCATAAACTTAAAACAAATGTTGAAAGGCTTGGGAAGCCTGAAAGGGGAAAAAATATTCAGACAATGTATCATCTGTTTCCTGTATTGCTGTTTTATATGAATAAAAGGAGATGTGACTGCTACCCAATGACAATAATCAAATTTTATTAGTTATTGATAAAATAATGGCTTTGTGACATCAAAGTTGTTTGATCATGTCTGAATGATTTACTGTCCAGTGAAAAGTATCACATGCATATTCAGGAAAAGAATAACTTTGAATTAAAATTACAATTGTACCTTTATTGAAATCAGTCAAATAATATGATTTTATTTTACAACCTGTAATTTAAAAAATACAGGTGTAAAATAAACATTTAAATCCTTCTATACTAAACAGGAAAATTGTCTTGATGCTCTGCTTTAATATGAGTGAAAGCTAATTATATTCAAATTTCAGTTCATCTAGCTTTCCTCATGTTGCAATTTTTCAGAACTCCCTCAGAAATTTTAAGTTTAAATTGATATTAAATGCAGGAAAAGGCTTATGTCAGATCAATTCATAGACCACTTAAAAAGAATTTTCTTATATATCCCTGAGAAACTTTTTCAGCATTCTTTGAAATCTATGCATTTGGAATAAACGACCAGAAAAGATTGACTGATTTGTCTATCGATGGCTGATCAACGATCAAAAGCAAATATAACCTGCATATAAAGAGCACAACATGTTTATGAGATATTTATATATTTGCCATGCTGTTTACTTGACAGACATTTTTTTGTACTTGACTGACTAGCTGTGTACTTTACAGACTTGTTTTGTACTTGACACACATGATTTGTACTTGACATACATGTTTTGTACCTGACAGACATGATTTGTACTGGACAGACATGTTTTGTACTTGACAGACATGATTTGTACTTAACACACATGTTTTGTACTTGACTTGCATAATTTGTACTTGACTAACAAGATGTGTACTTGCAGAAAAGATGTGAACATATTACTTAACAGACATGCTGTATAATTGACATACAATCTTTTTCTTTTTCTCTGATGTCATCCGATCTGAAAAATTATTCTGACTTTGGGCAACTCACTCCTAAATACTGTCTGCATTGCTGAGAAGCATAATAGTCGGTGGTTTGAACTTACAAGGGATCGAACCTGTGAACTTACTATAGTACAATGTCAACCTTTGTCACTTGCCAATAATGTGCCTATCCTGCCCCAGAACCTCGTCATGTTAATCTTTGAAAGATTTATAGCGTGCGATATGAAAATGAAGTACAGACAACTGTTTGTGTTGGATTGGATTTAGTGAGACGATTTTGTCTAATTTAACGTTTAACTAACTATAAACAACCGTCATACAGGAGGAAGGTTTGGTTAGCTTTAAAACCAGGATTAACCTATCATTTTCTTCGGAAAATGCCTGCCTGTACCAAGTCAGGCAGATGTTTTTCACTCGTTCCGTTGGTTGATAATGTTTGATTTTGTCAGTTTTGATGGACTTTCCCTTTTCGAATTTACCTTGGAATGGTATTTTTGTTTTACTTTTTTTACATAGAAGTAATAAATAATTATTTTATCTTTTATTTTAATTTTCTGAATAGAGTAATTTGTTTTGCAGGAATATTTACACTTTCAGAAGATCTCTTATAGTTATAGTTTGAAATGAAATCTTCATTGCCTTTACTTTTATGTCATCATCAGATTGATACCTTTTATGGCAACATGAATCTCTGTTCTATCTTGTCTTTTCCTGGTTTAAATGCAAAACCTGCATGCACATTTTGCTGCTAAATGATAACCCTTCTATGTTAATTATATTGTTATTGTAACTACTTTGACCTCTAGATATTTTTGTAGAATTTTTGAATGATCTGCCCTTTTAATGAACATATACAACACACACGTTTTTTATTCATACTGAAAATTATTATTAACAGCATTTGTACACATGATAAAAATACATACTTTTGATGTCAACGTGGAGGATAGAATTTCTTTTTACATAAGAATTTACCTATCTCTTTTGAAAAAAGAAAACATTCGTGATATAATAATTGTACTTAGATCTTGTACCTGTCTGTCTTTTTAAGATGTTTACCATAAATGTTTAATTTTAAATAATGTCACTTTTCGATAACACATAAACAATACAAAATAAGGACATTTTCCCAGGGAAATAATTAGCCTGTATGAAAGTCGCGTGAATACTATAAAGTCTATCATGTGTCTGTTCATTTGTCTCATATGGTCATTTTCATTTGAGTAATGGAGTTCCTAAGTGTGTTGTTTGTCAATCTCGTTATATTGGCTTCCACAAAAGCTGTAAATCCTGGTCTCAGATTAAGGATAACTCAAGATGGATTACATTACGGTGAGTGCATTAAAACGAGATAGTTAGTATAATGTTTATTCAGTATGTGCACACGTTGTTTTGGAATCGAGTGAAATAACGGAAAAAATCATTAGGCACCTTCAAATATATCTGGATGATTTTTTTCGAAATAGATCGGTCTTGAAATTAAAAGCCTGAACTATTTCTTTTTTTTTTTTAATTAATAGCCATTCCATTCTTTAACAAAGCAATAATTTTAAATTAGAAATCTCATTAGCTCTCCAGATAAATAAAATAAGAAGAAAAATGGCTTTAAATATGTTGCTGTCTCTGCATATATATGGGCAGCTTATTAATTATTCGTTGATTTATCTGTCGCTCAACAAAGTTTTTAAAAGACAAGATCAAGGAGCACCAAGAGAACAATTCTGAATAGCTAAATGGTGTCAATAATGATAGTGCAAATTCCAACTCTACCATTTAAAATTAGTCCAAGCCTTGAAGGTTCCTCCTTTTGATGCATAATTTCTTAATACATTATTGAATAAGTTCTATCGTTAACTATTCAGCCTTTACAAATCTATCTTGTACTGAGATTCAAGAAGAGATCGCTAATTTGATGACCTGAATTTAATCCGATGTTTAAGAAGACTTGTCTTTTTGCTTCTCTTCGATCCAAATGTGGACATCGTGAGACAATCGACCCCTTTTTATTTTTCGTGAAGTAATTCATCTTAAACAAATTAGATCTCATAAAGTATTGGAAACTGAAAATCAACTATTAAATAAATGAAGTTTGATATATATGAATAATTTCAAAACAATAGAGGGAAGGAAATTTGATTCCTCGATGACATTAATATTTAACAAAATATCTCAGTAAATGCGGAAATATTTATATAATAATAATTTCTAAATATATAATGTTCACGGTAGGTATAGTGTCCGGCCGAGATCGTATTTTTTAGAGTGAATCGGTCCACTTTTTCAAGTGTAGATCAGTTTTTACGAGTGATATTACATGCGATCAGATCGATTTACTGCTATTTCGCAAATATAATAGTTTTATTCATTATTGGTCATCTTATTCTGAATCCTATACATATTTTGAGCACAATTTCCTTAAAATTCACCGAAAATTCAGCGTTTTACATCTGTTTTTTTTTCGAGAGCAACATTTAAAAGGTCCAGGTTTTTTGACAAATGGTCCTGGTATTTCAATGTAAATGTGAATAAGAAAGAAGGCATTTCTCGCTTTTAAAACTGATTTTTTCCTAGTTTATAACTGTAAATTAGTGAAGAGGGTGTTAAAGGGTTATTTTCGTGCAACGTGTTTTGCCATTTTTATTTCACGTGCAGCCGTGAAAAAGGTTCGTTATTCACCGTGTTTCGTGAAATCGGTAAAAAGATCAACGTGCAAGAAATTTTTAATTGTTCTTGTTCGTTCATCGTGAAATGGCAATTTTATTTCGCGTTCTTCCGTGCAGACACCCCCCCCCCCTTTACGCCCCTCAATGAAGAACAATTTTATATTATTCCCAATGAGTCACAAAAAAATATTACAATGTTGATAAATTTATTAATTTTCGATTTAATGCTAATTTTCTGTACTGAAAGTATTTTACAATAACCTTGCAGTATCACTATATATAAGAAATCACTGGGTCCGTTTTAAAACTGTCTTTTGTCGTTTGTTGGTGTGGTTCATAAGTGTTTTTCGTTTCTCGTTTTTTATATAGATTAGACCGTTGGTTTTCCTGTTTGAATTGTTTTACACTAGTCATTTTGGGGCCCTTTATAGCTTGCTGTTCGGTGTGAGCCAAGACTCCGTGTTGAAGGCCGTACTTTGACCTATTTTTGTTTACTTTTTATACATTGTGACTTGGATGGAGAGTTGACTCATTATATTGGCACTCATACAACATCTTCTTATTTATATTTAGAACCGAGTACAGCGGACTCATAATCTTTTCAATTTCATTTCATGCTACCTTTGGTTTAGAGATTTCAATAATATTTTACGATTGATATACTAGTATAATACAGTGTCTAACCTTGAGTTTAAAAAAATTGGGGTAAGATAACTAAGGAATAGCAGTAAAAAATCTGAAAAATTCAATATAGACACAAATATTCTACTGAAAGAGGCCTCCCCAAAAAATTACAATAAAAACAAAAACAAAACACACTTAATCCGCCTATTTTCTATTTCCCATTGACAATAACATTTCAATTGAATGTTATATCTAATACAAAAATGAAAACAATACTTTATAAATTGTCTGAAGGGCTTTAGCTTCATCCGGAACGCTCAAAGCCGAATATTTGAAAGCCAGGGATGCATAAGAACCGAAACAGTTGAAGAGCTATATGACCAATAGGAACTTAAAAAATAGCCAAATCCACCAAAGGTTCAACATTGCCCGAGGGAGTTGAAACCTTAGTTTCTTTATAATTCTGATATTCAAAACGGAAGAGGACATAAAAAACGGAAGAGGACATAAGTGACCATATTTCTATTCCCCAGCTCCCCATGGATGTAATTTTAGAAAGGTGTGTTATAAATCATGTCAGTACTGACCACCGTGCTGATGATATCCTCGGGGACTTATCCAATTTATTTAATAAACAATGAAATAGATAAGCTTTAATACGATCCTTTTGAAATAATAAAAAAACAACGAAATGTGTATAATATTATAATATGCGTACACCTCACAAATATACATGGTCAATTTTTATTCTTTTAATTTCTGATGGTAAAGAGGCTATGATGGTGCTTTATTTCTTTGCAACTAAGCATTACATACGCTTGATCAGACACCGTTTCACAGTTGGAGCATTTGAACATTGTTCTTGTTTTCCAATTCTAGAACGTTACAGATAAAACATATTACCATCAAGACAAATGAAACATTAAGGATGTATTTTCTGTTAAAAATACACATATTTACCCGCTTTACACACTATGTGCATATATAAGTCTCAATCCAACATGAATATGTTTAGATTACGAAACATGTGTTTACATGTTGGATCGATCCAAACATACGTAAACCTGTGTGAGTTGAATAGAGTGAATGTGCACGATGAGAACAGTCTTTACTCGGGCGCAGACATGTTTGATCTAATCGAGTACATGTAAACGTATGCTGTTGCCCATATAACTTATAAGACTTTGGAAAAAACAATATATACAGATACACGTAATTTATGCAATGTACGTGTGATTATAATACATCATTATCAAACTGGTTTAATGCATTGGTTTTGTGCTTTGAAAAGTACTTTATTTGAACCTTTCCATTGTTTTTCTAAACGTAAATGCATTGATACAAAATTACATATTTTGCCATAGGAATTGTGTGGTTTTTTTTCACTCGATAAAACATGGACGCACTCGAAAAAAAAACGGACTGCTCTCGAAAAAACATAGACATATAAAAATGAATTAACGCTCCAAAATATCCTTATCAATGCAATAAGATTTTTTTTTAAAGTGTATGTACATCTAAGTATATATTTAGATTCCATGTATGCGTTTCCTTTGACATTTGCATTGGTACAGTATAAAAATGGCTTTAATCTATATTTTGGAATACAGTATTGTAAGGCTTAATTAAACGTTTTTAAAACAAAATATTGTAGGGTTGATAATACCTTTTTATCACAAATACTTATTTACCTTTTATGATCTTGTATATTAGGTTCTAGCACCTTTTTTTTATGTTTTACCAGAATGGATGTCTGTTTGTTTACAGTTTTTATCATATTCACTCGAAAAAAACGATCCCAGCCGGACACTATACCTACTGTTATGTTTCCAAAAAGAAATAGTTCAATAGATTTTTTTGCTAAATGAAAATTGTAACCTCATGGAAATTAAAAGAGAAAAAAAGTTAAACTCATTTTCAAAAGTAATCAAGACATAAAGTATCTAATAGAAGTTACAAAACAGACAGTGAAACATGAAACAAAAGGAAACATTAAAACGAAAGTGGTTACTTGTAAGTCATGTGTGAAGTTATAGTTTACACCCAAGACCGGAAAGTTAAAAATAACGAGATTATATTATATATATATAAATAATATACAGAAAAACGATCGGATATCATTGTTCATTTACTTTTTTTTTTCAATTGACGAAACGGTAAAACTGTTCTATCGGTTCGCATATATATGCTAAACAATCAATTTTTTTTTATCAATTCGCAAACATACTTCAAACAATATCTTTTGTTGATTCGCATACGTCAAACAATAGTTTTCATTGGTTCGCATACGAACCAACAATCATCATTGAATTGGTTCGCATACACCAATTAAATAATCCTTTTTGTGTTGGTTCGTATACGCAAAACAATCTTTTTTTTTATTGATTTGCGTACGCCAAACTATCTTTTTTAATGAATCGCATACGCCAAACAATCCCTTTTTATTAGTTCCCATACACCAAACAATCTGTTTTATTGATTCGCATACTCCACACAATCTTTTATTGTTGTCAAGCATAAGAACTTACAAATTTTAATTTCAACTAACCTGCATCAGTTACAAAACAAAGTCACACAGATATTCAGAAATGCATTTAGTGGAAGTCCTATTTCTTATGCAACTGAGAAAAGGCCTGTACAATTATTTGATTGAAAAAAAAAATTGAAAAACTACTGCAGACAAATAAAAAGACACGGTTTCCCCTTGTCTAACCAACTTCTTAACAATCTAATTCAAATAGTCATGATGGTAAAAAAGAATACTAATTTAAAAGTAATTCGAAGTAGCGATTGTTTTGTTTTCAGCAAACAAGGTGGCTGTAGATACTTTTGCCAAAGACATAAAACGCACCAGATTAGAAGACATCACCGGAAATGTTAAAGGCGTGAAATACAGTCTTTCAAAGTATGTCAACTCTAATAAAAAACTTAAAAATTTGACTCTCACAACAGGGACACAAACATCTTGGGTAGTTCTAAAGGTCCACTTTTTTAAAAGAGCATTTTGTACGAATATAATTGTCCCGGCTTCCGTTTTTACTTTTTTGAGTTCAGATATTGATAATAGTTATTACCATACTGCTTTTAAGAATATCGATTTGCCTACTTATAATTTGAAAGTCTTCTGAAACTATATTGAAATTCTATTGTCATATTTACTTTGAGCATTAATTGCAAAAAATCGTGTCTTCTTGCTGGACTTTTCATGACATGTAGCTGTATGAAATATACTCGGAAGTAAAGCGGCTGATCTTATATTATTACTGACGAATAGCAACGTAATCTTTAATTCATTTTTATTCATATCAAAGAATTAAAACAAATTAATAATACATGTAATAACAAATGTTATCGCAAGTGAGATGTGTTCACCTCAAATTAATGTAACAGCAAGCAAACGACATAAAAATCCGCAATGAAAACCAAACAATGATATCTAGAGGTCAACTTACAAAAACAGTTCAATTTGCCAAGGTTAGAAAAGTTGTGAATACACACAAAAGAGTTTATCAAGGACCTGTCTTAAACTAAACCCTTTTTTCAAGAAAAAAACATCAAGACACAAATGATGACGAGTAACGAGGTTCCCTGCTTGGGATAGGCACATGAACAGGTGGCGGGGTTTAAATATATTAATTCGGTCATTCCACTCTACCTCTTCAGTAGCCCATCAGTGAACTAATTTTTTAAAAGGTACATGTACACACGAGAACGTTAAAAAATATTCAGTACCCTAATTCATTAATTGTTTAAGGTGTATGAATACATAGTTTGATAATTTAGATATACATAAGAGTCTGTATTTGCATCTTAAAGTTTTAAGATTGCATAATTATTTTTACTTTTTTGTCAGTTTGATTGTAAATGACTTTAAAGCACCCAAAAGCGCAATAACATTAGCGTCAGGCAGTGATGTCGAATGGAGAGCAACTAAAATTGGATTAGAAATTGATGGAACATTCAAATATATATTGTAAGGTTTCAGTTTATGTTAATAAAAGCACATATGGGCTAATGTCAGAAGAGTACGATTAAATCTCAGGCAAAAACCATACCACATAGATGAAATCGTTGCTTAAAACAATTATTTTTACAGTTCTATGAATTGCAAAATCAAACTCTTTCTTCTGGAAAGACAAACGACACTTGAAAAAATCTATAACAGGAAAAAATTTACCAAAAATAGTACGATTTTTCTGTGTATAAATATAATTTTATTGTAAAATATCAGTCGCTCGACACATTTTCAAGTCTTTTAGCGCATTTGTCCTGTTCACTTTACAAAAATTTTGCATTGTCACTATACAATATAAATGTGCAGAAAATTCAGAAATCATTACATACCAGACAATTAATAGAACATATGTTTAATTTTATTTAATTTTATTACCAAGAGTTGTTAAATGTAGCCTTGATCGATCTAATGGACTAAGAATTGCATGCTGATTATAACTTCCTAATATCAGTTTTATATTGTGTAAGACTATTGTGAATTTGGTATATTGAAATAAATAATTATAAAAATAAGAAGATGTGGTATGATTGCCAATGAGACAACTCTCAACAAGAGACCAAATGACACAGAAATTAACAACTATTATAATAGGTCACCGTACGACCTTCAGCAATGAGTAAAACCCACACCGCATAGTCAGCTATGAAAGGCAGCGAAATGACAAATGTAAAACAATTCAAACGAGAATTTTTCTCATATATTTGCATTTTCCTCATATATTTGTATATTTAATCTTATTTTGATATATTTGTTTATCTAATTTTAGTCTTTTTATCAAAGGAGGGGGCGATTTCACAGTTAAAGCTTCAGACCTCTCATTTGCTGTTGGAATTCAAATCGGTAATATAAAATTTGATTTATGTTTGATTACATGTTTAAGGGTCTTCAATTTTTTCATAAGTCTGGATGAGGGGTCCTTCATTTGTGCATTTTGTTTTTTTTCTTTCATTTTTCTCTATTATTTATATTGTTTGCCCATTATTTTCTATCTTTTTTATATTTTAGCACCCCATTACATGTGTATTCTCAATTTTTTTTTGGGGGGGGGGGGCGGGGGGTCGATATTTTATCATATTTTAATATTTATATCATATTGTATACATACATAATGTTTTCTTTATATAAGCTGGATTTTTTTTCTTTTTCAACAGTTGTAGATCATACATTTATATTAATTCTGACTATTTGTTATATTATTAATGTTTATAATATATCTGTACGATGGATTTTGGTTTATAAGATTAAAGATATATATATTTCTCTACAATTGGTCCATTATTCTCTATTCTGTAAACCCCTACAAGACCCTCAAACATGATCCAGATAGCCTGACTTGATACAGACACAAGATGTGATAGAGTTAAACTAGTGTTACGTGCATATAAACCCCGTTTGACTACCTAGACCATATGTCGTAAAAGTGAAAGAGTGTATAATATTGGAGTGCAGCAACCAACATGACAACGAACTTGAATAATAGAGAAATAAAATAAAAATAAGGAGATGTGGTATGATTGCCAATGAGACATCTATCCACCAAAGTTAAAAAAAAGTGTATATATAGATATAAGAAGATGTGGTATGAGTGCCAATGAGACAACTCTCCATCCAAGTCAAAATCTATAAAACTAAACCATTATATAAGCTATATGCAACTATAGGCAACCGTACGGCCTTAAACAATGAGAGTAGCCCATACCGTGTAGTCGGCTATAATAGGCCCCGACATGAAAAATATGAAACAATTCAATTGAGCTTAATAGACGGCTTACACGGCATTTTCCGGGAATGCATGGCCAAGATGTGTTTGCTACTGCAGGAATCTAGATAAGTTAGATAAGATCGAAAGCAAACCAACGACAGCAAATATTAAGAAACATAAGGAAGTCATCGTACAATATGGCAAAGTCTAAATTTGTACGTTTTTTTCAATCATTATTTATGGCGGAATATTTTGTCGCTAATGAATTAACATTACATTTATCCGAGTTCTTCTTTCTTGCTAAGGACTGGATTCCTATTGGAATGTAGTTCAAACTGAGTACTAATTGATTTCAATATTTTTCATTTTTTTAAAACAATTTTTCATAAAGTTGAAATAGAATAAAACGCTTGTAAGAAAATTTATTATTAATTGTATCATTTGAATTTAAAAATAAATGAACGTTTAATGTACATGTATATATGCAAATACATCATATAAGTTTATAGCTTTCATATATATATGCAATCGTAATATAGTTTTGATCATCTAGTCTTTTTTTCAGGGGTAGATACTAATGGAAAGCCAACTATTAAAACCACATCATGTGAATGTAAAATTGGTCCACTAAAAATTAAATTCCGTGGCAAAAGAGCTTGGATTTACAACATATTAACCACATTAGCTTCAAACGCTATTGCGACAATGTTACAGAAAAAAGTTAGTATTGTCTGTTAATTCATATTACAAATATGTATATGTATAAAGCATGCAATACAATATATCTGACGACGAGCTTAATTCTAAGATCTTACTTTGATATATAGTTCAATAAGAGGATTCTTATAATAGATATAAGAAGATGTGGTATGAGTGCCAATGAGACAACTCTCCATCCAAGTCAAAATTTATAAAAGTAAACCATCATAGGTCAAAGTACGGTCTTCAACACGGGGCCTTGGCTCACACCGAACAGCAAGCTATAAAGGGCCCCAAAAATTGCTTGTGTAAAACCATTCAAAAAAAAGTAAAATCACAAAAAATCCTGAAAGAATACCATTCAAACGGGAAAATCCACGGTCTAATCTATATAAAAAACGTGAAACGAGAAACACTTATGAACCACATCAACAAACGACAACTACTGAACATCAGATTCCCGACTTAGGACAGGTGCAAACAATTGAATCTTTATTGAAATTTAATCTACATGTCACATATTGGTTTACAATGTAAATCCTATATAACACTTTTTTTATATGAGTGCGTGTAAATTATTGTTGAAGACTATTATTCATGGTGAACTTAAAGTGTCTAATTTAAATACATGACTCTGTTGTTGTGTTATTGTTAATCTTGGATTGATCATGCATCTTCTTTTATATATGGGTATATTTGAGAAATACGTCTAATTTATCCTTAATCTAAAAAAGTTGTAAACAACTAACGGAGACTAAAAAAAGATCTGCCTTCAACACCAAATTCCCTAAAAACAATCAATTATAGTGTTCCGGAGAGTTCTAGATTAAAGGAACATCAGAAGGTACTGAAAAGAAAGTAAACGACAGATCAGCACAGGGAATTGCCTAACTCTATAATTCCGGTACATTGAGTAAATAACAAAGCAAACACAATAATAACCAGAATTGAAGGGCTGAAAACAAGCTTTATCTACTCAAATTTAAATTGTGACTAAGTTAATCGTGGTCTTAGATATTTAGATACAAGTCATAATAGTCGTCTGGGCCCGTATGCATAAAGCTACTTAAGTTAAGATATCCAATCGTAATACTAATTTATCGTAGGACATGTAGAAAAATCCGTCCGTTCGGAACAAATCTTAACTTATGATAAGAAGCTTTATGCATACGGGCCCTAATCTGTAATTGTACCGATTATGTCCTATTCCTAAAGGTGACATTTTGACTGAGTGTGAATTCGTATGACGGGTGATGCATGCGTAGCAGGAGACGCGATCCATGTCGACACACCGGTCGACACATGTCGTTGTCACTCTTTTTGGAGTTCATGCAATTCCTTCAGTTTGTGTGTGTTAACTGATTTGTGTCTTTCTAATCAATTAACAAGATTTGAACATTGGCAAATTACTATCGCCTTAATTAATCTAAAAAAATCTTCCGAAATGGAAAAACCAAAGACACATCTACCACACCATAACTACCAATATAATTCATGATGATAACATAGAATATATATGTATAAAGGATTGTAGGTGTGCGAAAAAGTTAAAGACGTTCTTGACAAGAAGGCAGAAGAAGAATTGTGTTCTTTTCAAGGTAAATTTATTTGTCTGCGTAACTGTACTGTACTCATTCCAGTATATGTTTAAAATGTGAAAATTATATATAGTCATGATCTGTTATTTTCCTTTTTTAATCTATGTTAGGGCATAGCAATAGAATGTTATATCAATTAACAGATCCTAAAATATCAATTGCATTGCAGTTCTATTTATATTTTCAAGAAAACTGGAAATTCTAGTCAATAAAGATCGGAGTCGAACACACCTGCCACGTGCGGGGTTCGAACTCACAACCTCAAGTCTTGACAGGCTAGTTATACTATAGATGAACTATACTTAGATCACGCTGCCACCTAGGCCCCAAAAGCACATTTATGTTAAATGTAATCTTAAATCTTACCCTTCCGGAGCACCTGAGATCACACCCAGTTTTTTGTGGGGTTCCTGTTGCTCAGTCTTTAGTTTTCTATGTTGTGTTGTGTGTACTATTGTTTGTCTGTTGATCTTTTTCTTTTTTAGCCATGGCGTTGTCAGTTTATTTTCGACTTATGAGTTTGAATGTCCCTCTGGTACCTTTCGCCTCTCTTTTAAAAGTTTGTCAATTGATATAAACCTGCAGCATTATTCTTCATTATGTCTTTTAGTGAAATCGACATTGTAGTGCTTTTATGTCACAAATTAATATACATTTGTACCATATCCTTTTTTCTTTATTAATAAGACAATTAACTTTCAATGCTATATTTATATTGTTTGTAACAATTATGCTTTTACAGCGGAGGTACAGTTGGGAGAACATTTGACTCTGGATTACAGATTACTGTCAGCTCCTCATATAACAGCAGAATATATCGAAGGAGATTTCAAAGTAAGTATATTAAGTTTACAGCTCTATTATTTTAAAATTCAAACAGCAAAACTGTTTGGTTCAAAGACCAAAATGACCCGTTGTCCATTATTCAAAACAACATACAAATAATTTCTCTTTTTGTGCAATGTCAATTTCATCATGGATCGCTTTTTCCACAGCCAGGGGTTCCTTAAGGGATGAAAACAAGTTTGAAATATGTGTTACAATTTAAAAAACTATCAATGTATTAATTTAAGTTGCAGTATAAAAACAATATGAGGTCAAAGTCAGAAAAATATAAACTTTTCTGTATTCGGCACAAAACTGGAGAAGGGCTCGGTAAAACCTCGCCCTTCCACATTTCCCCAGACTCATACAAAAAAGTTTATATTTTTCTAACATCAACCTAATATTGTATATATAGACAATAACTGTTTAGTGTCTTTAAATATCAGCTGTATTTGTACTAGGCTAAGAAACGGGTGTAATGCGAGCTTTAGCTAGCTATTACTCCTGTTTCGAGCCGAGCACAAATGCAGCTGATATTTAAAAACACTAAACAGTTATTGTCTTTATCCTGCAATTAATTTTGTACATTTTTTTTCCATCCCAATCGTTGAAATTGTTTTTGAAAGAAAATCGACATGACTTAAACGCGGACCGCAATGAGGACCCAAATTGAACTGTGACGTAAACAGTAATTTGACATAACCGTTCGCTCGCAACAGAAGCAGGATACATTTTTTGTACCAGGAGACTATATACGTCTAGTATACGTTTATCGCTTCGTGTTATCTGTACACCCGTATGTATTAGTATAGTAGAAAGGTCGATTGCAGGATAAATACTTATTACCCGTCATCATAAAACTAAATAGATAACAGGAAGAGCTAACTTTTTGACTGAAAAACTGGTGCAATGCTCACGTTTTCGACAATTATAAGCATTTCAGAGTCAAAATGTTATAATATGTAATATGTACATGTGAAAGAAAGCGGTTTTAAAGCAATAAACAATCCTGCAACAGTCAGCATAAACAAAGCTAAATTAATGTAAACGTTTGAATAACGATTTCATGACATGTGTTGACTTTTTCATAAAGTGCGCTACATGCAATATGTTTAGTACACACAGGAATATTAACTTTTACATAATATGTTTTTTTAACAATGGCTTGCACTGTCTTGTATAGGGAGAGGTATTCTGGACAATGAACCGGACAGAAGCACCATTCACCCCGGCTCCAATGGCTTCCATCACGGACAACAAGAAGATGGCATACCTTACAGTGTCCGACTATATTTTCAACTCTATGGGGTACCAAGCACATACGCATGGGCTGTTGATGTATAACCTAACGTCTCAAAAAGTATGTAAACAATAGGCTAACCTAGTCGAAGAAACATGTGATATGTTAACGACTGAAATTCAAAAAAGCAATTTCGTACAAATTTTCAATAAGGAATAATATTTGAAAAATTATAAATATAACAAATAGGTTAAAATTGAGAAACAAAAAAAGAGAGATTTTAACAATTTATAAGCACACAATTTCTTTTAAGTAGTGATTTAGTGATACTGTTATTCAGAGGTATTCATCTCCTCAATAATAAACATGAGTAAGAGTATGCATGTTTTCACATTAGTACAAAATCAAAAGCAAGTACAAGTGATTTTATTGCAGTTCTTCATCTCGAAGTCACAATTTCAGCACGCAACAAAATCTTATACTTATGTCTAGTACTTCACTTCGAGTTTTTATGACGGCTCATATCGCCTTTTTATATAATTTATTATTATATCTAACGTAATTGTATAAAAAGAATAAACGCGTGTATTTTCATTTATCTTTGAAATTCTTGAAAAGTACAATTTTTCAAGTTTTTTATACCTGTTATTTAGATGAGAGACAAGAACGATCTACTCAATACAACATGTGATGATGCCTGTATCGGAAAACTTATACCGCAGGTAAATATTATTTTTCTAACAAGGAAAAAACAATCCCTTTATAAAAGCATTTAACAGTTTTCTTTTATGTTGGGCTGTCCCAGGTTAAGGGAGAGCTGTGCGCTCACAATCATGGTTAACCCTGCCACATACTTTAAGTGCCTGTCCCATGTGAAGATCCTGAAACTCAGTGGTTGTCGTTGCTTGCTGTTTGTCAAACAATTTTTTTTTCATTCATTGTTTTAACATGAATCGGGCCATTTAGTTTTCCGTTTGAATTGTTTCTCATTTTGTCATGTTGGGGTCTTTTATAGCTTTTATATTAATAGTATGTGTTTTGTTCATTGTTGAAGGTCGTGCGTTGCAGTTGCTTACATACACGTTACTTAGTCTTCGGTGGATAGTTGTAAAATTTGGGAATCATACATGTACCACACCCCCTTATTTTTGGACTAGAACAAACTTTTCTCCGGACAATTTTCCAAATTCTACGTTGAAGTTAAACTTATAACAAGCTATTTGAATTCTTACTGACGAACTGTAACTTCAAAAGTGTTATGTTTGTATTAGTTAAACAACAGATTTATTATGGAACAGTTTTCTGTACTTTTCAGAAGTGATGAACATTTATTAAAAAAAAAACACAAATACAGTTAAACGTTGTTTTCCTAAAAGCAAATACCAGAAATTATATTCATTTTATGCTAAATAGAATCAAGTTTTCTTATTTGTTACATTTTTCCATTTGTCCTAATATTTATTCTTGTATTGATATGAATAAATGATCATTTTTAGATAGGACAGCTATACCCAAATAGTCAAGTTGAAATACACCTGCTGAGCACAGACTGGCCTCGCGTCTTCATTACTGAGAAAGCTGTACAAATTTTGAGTAAAAGCAATGTTACATTTTCTGCAAGAAAACCAGACAATACCCTTCACTTTATGTTTCGAATTCATGCGGTAAATATAATTTTTATTGAAATATACGTATAATACATGTAAACTTGTAGTATACATTTGAAAGTGATTAGATTTGTACACAATTATTGCGCAATGCAAAAACCTGAAACTGATATGAGCAGTGAGGTTAAAATGAAAATCATGTTCAGTTCTTCGTAAATTGATACGTAGTTTTTCATAATCTGCTACATTGTTATTTGTACACTGCTACGTAGTTCTTCGTAATCTGCTACGTAGTTATTCGTACACTGCTACGTAGTACTTTGTACACTGCTTCGTAGTTCTTCATACACTGCAACAGTGAATAGACTATAATACTTTACCATTGTTACACATGCGGACTAAAACATTAATACAATATTTTTTTTAAATCCTGAAATAAAGACAATTTTAGGAAGATAACAACTAATGATCAACAAATAAGATTTTTCAGAGATAATGTTGCAAGAAAAATGCACGAAGTTACTACGTGAAATTAAGAACAATGTTGCAATTCGAAACAAAACATAATTTTCACACAGATTATTGCACAAAATTTATATCTTTTAAAATACTTAGCCAGCTATGAAAAGTAAAATGAATCCAATTGTGTGGGGTGTAAGCATGCTTTCTTTGCATTTATCATTATGTAATCTGTTCCAACAGGTAACGATGGCTTCAGTCAAAATTAACCTGAACGGTGATGCTTTATCTGGAACAATTGACTACATGAAGTAAGTACGACTTTTTAATTATATTTTTATTACAAGTGTGGACACCGATCAGTATGGATAGTAATTGTTAAGTTTTTAATAACACCTTATAGAACTGTTTCTCCTCTGAATAAATCCAGTACCAGATCGAAAGAAGATGATTCCTACGGTTTTTATAATTTCATTCTTTGATGTTCCATCGATCGAGAATCAAATGAGTTTGAAGACTAAAATCTACTAAAACCATTTACAGTGTAGGAACTCGGTTACCGGATACAATTTATTTATTGTTTCTTTCTATCAGTCCATTTCACCACATTATTACCGTCAACACCAAGTTGTGTACGGTGAGTACGATACATGTATATTGCTGAACGAATGGTCCTTTTCATATTTTCAGAGTCGAGACAAATGTGACAAACTCGTTAATTGGAGATATTGATGTGAGTAACTGAATAATGTTTTAAGTTGGAATCAAAATTATAAAATAAGCTCGAACGATTATCAAAATCATAACAAAATATTAAAGTTTATAAATATTGTAATTTCAAAATCGATGACTATCAAATTACAAATCTTAAGCATAAGTATTTACTTGTTTTTGTAAAACTGTATAAAAATAGAGTTAAACGTTACTTGGTAATGGATCACAAAGGAAGGGGGAACCTATAAAATAAGGGATCGGCCAGATTCTTAAACTTAAATGAATGTGATAAAATTTGCATAATACTAGAATTATAATTGAAAATCAAGGTCACATTTTGAGGTAAAATGTTTCTTTATCAGATATAGAGACGTTCTGTTGACTTGTTTAAGAGTTTATTTCCATAAATTGATATGCAATCTAAATGAATTAATACGTCATGCATATGTCTATGTTTTAGGAGACAACATTCCAGCTTCTAGTTGATGATGCTGTAAAGAAAGTTATCAAGCCAATGATAAACGGTATGATTTATGTTTGGCTTACAATCATGATAATTTTAATTAGTCTCATGATATTTTTTAAAATTTCCTTCATCTATAGTGAATGATAATTGATATTATTAAACAGTAAGCTAAACTATTTTGGAAACACCACTGTGTCGGTGATTTTTCCTCAACTTCTTAATCCTTACATCGTTCTTAACTTGAATCCGTGAAACATTTTTCGTTTACATGTTTTAAAAAGAACGAGTATGTATTACACAATACACGATTTACAGAATTGTAAATAAATTTGTCCAGTAAAGACTGCTATTTCACGTTCCAGATCTTACTTTTACTGATTTTTGTTTTTAGAATTTCAAGGGTTAACTTTAGTATGAAAATTTGTTCCTTTCAAATCCGTAAGTTAAACCAAATGCTAAATATGGCAGTCCGGGGTGTATGAATACGCAGCCACTCCCGGTTTGAATTGGGACGTTACATTTGATTGATATTTATTGTTGTTTTACGCCACTTTCAACACTGTCTCTTGGCTATGTTATGTTTAGGTTTTTAATGGCGAGTATTATATATCTTTATTCTCAATTAAGTATATACATAGGTATAGACAAGACATTTATGTACAATATTTACAATAAGACAGAACAAATAAAATAATTGCTAAGACAGTATATATATATGAAGTACATTTTAGCCAGGAGCACATATACCTGTGTTGATAATTTTTATAAATTTACAAAGTTTAATCAGTTTTGATTTGTTTTTTGAAGACATAATCTGCTAGTATTTAACAATATTTGCATTTTTAAAATAATAATGTGACATACAATGTTTCTTGTTTTCTTCAAAGTATTTGCATTCTAATATGTAATGAAATTCATCGCCAATATCATTTTTATTACATAAAAGACACAGTCTATTATTTCTAACTATATTATTCCATCTACCCTGTTCAATAGGGAGCTTGTGATTTGTGGTCCTAAACCAACACAAATCAATAGATAATTTGTTCCCCAGAATTTCAAAATAGTCTTCTCTTCCAAAAAAATCTTTCAAAAGTTTATAATTAAGTGCTTTTTGGTGAGTTTTCAAACAAAGAATGCCAGACTTGTACAAACCGATCTTTAAGTATGAGCTTGATGAATGAAACTAATCATTTGCAATTCATAAATGATTGCGTTTTCTACACATTTGGGGTACCACATTCATTTAGAATAGTCTTTTCTCTGTTTAACCATGAAAAAATCACATTGTCATTAATAGACATGTGATAACACAATTTCTCTAATTCTTCGTCAATTTATCCCTTTCTGCACCCATTGTATAAAAAAAATTTAATCAACGTGTGGTTCGTTTGATCTCAGTTCTTCATTGGTTAAAATCCGATTATGACGTCGAATTTTCTTGCTTTCCTCTGAATTTCATATTGTGACGTCACATAGAAAGAACACATCTTTTTGCAGATCTTTCGAAAAGAAGGGATAAATTTGCCTGCGTATTGTTTGAAAATCATTAGAGAAACAGATTCCACCACCAAATCTCGTGTAATACGATATTTATCCACTCTCGACAGTTAAATTTTAAATATTTAAAACGCTCGGCGAGCCTCGCGTTTTAAATTTGAAAATTTAACTGTCTCGAGTGGATAAATATCGTATCACACTCGATGCAGTGGTAGAATCTATATTTATATAAAGTATAAGATAGTTTTGTCTCTTAACCAGAGTTAAATTTCCCCTAAAATGAGATCAATCTTGTTTTTATGTCCAAGTCTATAGGATATCTCCCAAGCTCCCCATAAATCATGTAAGTGGTGTTGATGTTTTCAGACTTAATAATAATTTACAAAATTTTAGTTGTACCCTTTCAATTATGTCATTATTTCCAATACCCCATACTTCACAACCGTACAGTAATATTGGTTTCACCATTTTATCAAATAAGTCCAACTGACTACATACAGAAAGATTATGTAGACGACCGAGTCTTAACACTTCGTAAAGAGCCTTAGTAGCCTTTTCTTCATTAAATTGTTTTGTTTTATTAAAATTACCTGTTCTTGTACTCTGAACAATACCCAAGTATACCCAAGTATTTTGAATTCATCAACGATATCCAGTTTTTTTCATTAAAGAAAAATTACATGATGGTCGTCTCCTGGAAAAAACCACGACGTACCTTTGTTTTTTCAACATTTACTTTTAGCCTCCATACATCTGTGTAATCTAGAAAACAATCTAATAGTTTTTGGAGTTCAGTTGCGGATTCCGCCATCATAACAGTATCATCAGCATACAGAATAATAAAAAGTTTTAAAAATATGTCAAGTTTTTCTTCAAGCTCTGTTGACACTGATTTTAGGCCCTCTATATTACAGGTTTGAAAAAATGAATCCAGATCATTTAAAAATAAAGAAAAAAGAAAAGGCGATAAATTTTCGCCTTATCTAACCCCGTTACTACATGGGAAAAATCAGAAATGGAATTGTTATATGACTTAGTACCTTGATACATATTTACAATTAAATTATACATACATCCATTCATATTATTCTAAAACATTTTATACCACAGTGCATCTCGCCAAATCGTGTCAAAAGCTTTTTCAAAGTCGACGAATGCACAAAATATGTTTTTCTTTTTTAATTTTAAAATTCAAACAATGAATGAATTACAAATAAATTATCAATTGTTCAATAACCCTTTCTAAAACCACATTGGTTTTCGTTTAAAATCATAAATTCTTCAGAGAAAAGATTTAGTCGCTCGCATGAAATTGCGGTAAAAAGTTTCCCATACAACTCAAAATGGTAATAGGTCTAAAATTGTTGGGGCCAAACTTGCTACCTTTATTTTTATAAACAGGCGTAATGTAACCAATTAGCCAACTGTCAGGAATAATACCTGTGCGAAATATAACGTTAAATAATTTTTCGTATAATTCAATGAATAAACGAGCTGTCGACTTGATATATTCATTCATTATATGATCATCCCCAAATGCTTAATTATATTTCAGGTTTTTAATGCCCTTAAGAATTTCGTCTTTTGAAATTCTCGTGTTTAAATTTTCATTAAGCCTATCAACATCATTCGGGTTTAAAGTTGGAATATTTGTGTTTTCTTCATCACCTGGAGCGCCGTTCAAGTTTTTGAAAAAATCGGGCAATTTAGTAATAGGGATGTCGGGTTGGTCTCTTTTTTTCCCCCTACTTTTCAGTAATTTCCAATACTCTTGTGAGTTATTGTATCTCAATATGTTTATTTTTTTAGCCATTTTTTTTATGTGCAATATATGCTTTATCTAAAGTCTTTTTATATTGTTTCTCCGAAGATTTCATAATTTGGCAGTTTTCTACTGATCTATTGTTCTCAGATTTTCTTTTGAGCTTGCGATAATTTTTGCGAGAAAAATTACAGTCACTGTCAAACCATTCTTTTTCCAATTTTACTGGATTGTTTTTAGATTTCTTCAAACCGCTAGTTTTAGTAACCCCAAATGTTGCCCTGGCAGAGTCCAAAAATAAGTCACACGTGTTATGAACAACCATGTTCCATTCATTTTTGTTCATATTTGCTTCAACTTTATCAATCTCTTCAATTAGAGTGTAAACCTTTTCCGCGTCTACCCCATTTTGAAAATCCACAAATTTATCATTGTCCCTCTTTTTTATATTTTCTGGACGGTTACATGTATCTGTTCCAGCATTAAAACACTGATTACTTTCAACAGTTTGTTTAGTGCTAGCCAAAGTTACCTCTAATGGGGAATAAGATCAAATATAAAGTTGAAAAATCAAGTACATGAAAATTAGTAAAACATTTTAACAACTCAGCACTACTAATACAATAATCTACAATGCTGCTATTTCTACATGTTAATTTACCATACTGTCTATCGTCATCAATTCGACCATTTACAATAAATAAATTGTTTCCTTACAATCGTTTCCCGTATCCATTTTTTACTATGTCCAAAGACGTTTTTCTTTGGAATATTTAATTCATCAAGCATATAAACTTTATTTTCAATAAAATCTGTTAGATTATTGGTATGTTTATCATTATGTATAATAACAAAATCTTCGTCTTCTGCTGTTCGTCCGTTGAAATCTCCAAGCAATGACAATGATATTTATAAGTATTAAAAAAAATAATGTATTCATTTTCTAACTGACTGTAAGCATCTTGAGATGAGTAATTTGTGTACTCCGGGGGAATATATACCATGCCAAAAACTATATCATCGTCAATACTAAGTAAATCTGACGATATTTTGAACCAAAGAAATAACGACTGTCAGTTGTTTATACTTTAATTTTATTTGCTACTTCTAATTTGTACCCTAAAGTTATCTCCCTGACCTATTTCTTGACACTTTCTTTCTATTTTTCATTTTGAATTCATAATCTGGTAAATCAATAATATCTATATCGTCAGTTTTTGTTTCAACAAAACAAATTATATCGTTATTATTTAACAATGATTGAAATTCAGGATAGTTCAATCTTTTTGAACACCACAACAAATTAGACACAGAATATTGATATCACTTCTAATATGTACATTTTTGGAAGTTTTTAAAGAATCATTATAGTACAAATTTACAAACATTTTGGTTATGCTCTCCGTCGCATTCCTATAGGTGAGGTGATTCACTACTTGGGCTTGTCCCAGATCTTTTTCGTAAAGTCGACCGTTAGTATTTGCTGGGGTCATCATTATGTCTGTGGACCCTCCATTCAGAGGCCCTCTCTGCTGATCTTCTATACTGGTATTAGTTTGTTCTGTGGATACCAATTGTTCTCCGTCAGTACATAGCTTGTCCCGTATACATTACACCTGATTTCCTTCTCGCTTCGCCTGTTTCATAACAGGAAAGAGTTTCCTCCGGCGAGCTTCAATTTCTGCTGGGAATTGTTCATTTATACAAAAAGGCTTTCCCTTGAGGCGAAATACGTTTTGGAGAACGCATTCGAGGTCGCGTCGGTAAATAAAACGAGCCACAATTGGTTTGGCTCTATTCCACCCAATTTTCTCAAATCTATATGGTGTTCAATTTGCAGCTCCTCATAGATGAAATTTCTTAGTTTTGCTTCACAATTTTCATTTTTATTGTAAGCTAAGCCAGAAAAAAATTAAATTGTTTTTCATGGATCTGCACTGGAGGTCTAGGATGTTTGATTCAAGTTTTTCTATCTTTTCATTTTCTACCCTATAGATAAGTTTGCCGATTGCAGACTTTTTTTTGCGTTTTTCTAGTTGATTAAATTTCGACGAAAGATTTTGTAGTTTGTCCTTGTTTTCTTTATTGATGTTATTAACTGCGTCAAATACATTGCTGATACCCGCAATACTACTTTCCATTTCATTTCCATCTCAGATTTTTTTAATTTTATGTCATGAACAGTTTTTTCCAAATCCCCTTATCTTGCTACTATGCTAAAATAAATATGTTACAAGAGAAGATTTAAGGATTCAAAGTTATAAAAGCGATGGAAATTTATGGACTTTGTTATAGTTTTCAGAATGGTTGCACACCATTATTAAGGAATGTTCTGAAGATGAACAACTGGCATAAAGATGTTTCTCGTGATATAATTGTTAATGGATTTTTTCATTCTTTCAGTTTCACTTTATGTGTAGCATGCACGTGACTATGTTTTGCACTTATTCCAAAATGGTACATAAAGCCAGTACTTCCAGCATTATTGCATTTTTCAATCGTACCCATGTGACAAAAGAGCGATTTTTTAAATCCCAGTGCAGCAAGTGAAGCAAACTCTCTGAAACAATGAAATCTTCAATACATGTATTAATATAAAAATAAGAAGATATGGTACGATTGCCAATGAGACAACTCTCCACGAGAGACCAAATGACACAGCAATGAACAACCCCCTTGTTTTATTAATTTTGTATTTACATTGTGTCATAGATCAAATTTATTCGTTCAGCATGTTCAGTGTAGGTTTACTTGTTTTTGTTAACATGTCTTTTGATTGAGTTAAGCCATTTCAATTGAAATTTTAAAGTGTGTCTTTCTATGTTGTGATGTTACACTATTGTTTCAGGTAGGGTGAAGATTGGCGCCTATTAAAACGTTTAAACCCGTTGCATTTGTTTGCACCTGTCCTAAGTCAGGAACCTGATGTTCAGTGGTTGTCGTTTGTTGATGTGGTTCATAAGTGTTTCTCGTTTCTCGTTTTTGACATAGATTAGACCGTTAGTTTTCCTGTTTGAATGGTTTTACACTAGTCATTTTTGGGACCCTTAATAGCTTGCTGTTCGGTGTGAATCAAGGCTCCGTGTTGAAGGCCGTACTTTGACCTATAATGGTTTACTTTTACAAATTGTGACTTGGATGGAGAGTTGTCTCATTGGCACTCATACCACATCTTCTTATATCTATATAGGTCACCATACGGCCTAATGAGTAAAACCAATACCGCATAGTCATCTATAAAAGGTCCCGAAATGACAAATGTAAAACAATTCAAACAAGAAAACTAACGGCCTGATTTATGTATAAAATAATGAACGAAAAAGAAATATGATATAACGCAACAAACGACAACTACTGAATTACAGGCTCCTGACTTAAGACAGGCATATACAGAATGTGGCGGGGTTAAACTAGTGTGAAGGCGCCAACCCTCCCCTTAACCTGGGACAGCGGTGTAACAGTACAACATAAGAACAAACTATAAAAATCTGTTGAAACTCATCAGATGGATACAAAGCAGAAATGCATCTAACAAAAACACAAAGTGAACGTGGCAGGGTACTTGTTCATCCCCACAACAAAAGACACTAAGTACAGATCTGAGAGTACTCGCAGTTACTGACAGCCAATAACAACTAATAAAAAAATCATGCATCTAAGACTAAAATGTCTTTAATACCAAGCTGATTAAGCTGCTGTTTCATTAGTTGAAGTTATGATTATAAGAACATTCAAAAGAACTAATTATAATCAGATCCTTGCAAGCATAGCGAAGACATTTAGACCACAAGGGGACCTGTAATAGTTCACATATTTATCCTTTGATCTTCGTCCTCATTGTCAGTCATATCACATGATTGTTTTAAACAGTGTCTGTTTATAAATCATATTGTCTTTAATACCAGAACAAACTACCGATATCGATTAAAATTTTCTGAAATGAAAATAGACCCAATATTTAATTTATTATAATATTGTCATATTATAAATCGAAGAACTGTTCGCAGATACATGTACACTGTATACGATTGTGCATAATTAATACGTGTTTTGTTTTAAACAGATTATCTGAAAGATGTAGGGATCCAATTACCATCTACAGACAATTTACAGTTCAAAGATGCGAAGATTGAACTTCTTATGGTAAGTTAAGAGCAAGTTAACTCTTATGCAACCGCTCATAACATGCTCCATCATAATTCAAATGATGTATGTATAATCTTTATTTGCATGGCCAACGACATGGGAACCGAAAAATACACAAAAAAAACACATGTTGAGAGTATTAATTCATATGGGAAAAGTTTCGTTCTTTTATTATTTCTTATATAGTATACTTTAATAAACATTGAAGTTATTGAAATTATAAGTAATACATTTTCATATTTTACGGAATTTATTAGCTTTAATGAAAAGGCCAATTTAAAGTCAAAATCAAACAAAGGTCGTACTTATAGTTATAAGGGTCTGGGTCCTCCATTTCTGTATTCCTTATTTTTTAGGACATTTTTCTCTGTTCTTTAGATTTTAGCACCTAATTATGATTTCTCTATTCTTTATATTTTTGCCCATTACTTTCTATTCTGTAAACCCCCACCCACAACCTCAGTTATTAAGGCATCTTGATTACCGCTATGTACTCTAGAAGGCGATGCTAAAGTGTCGAAATTGAAACTAGGCTACAAGCAACAGATTTTTTAACATAAAATGTTGTAGCATTTACTTCTTCTTTTTTGAGATTGAAGAAGTTTGGTAAGAACATCGTTGATCACTTTTTCGGATATATCTGTTTCATTTAAAAGATGAACTTTGTCAACTGGGTTTGCTTGACGTGTTCAATAATGAATTGGATACAAGTTTTTATAGACTTCCTTTTTGTGGTTTTTCAAGTAACCATCTTTGTCATACAAGTGAAAGGTCTAGCTAGCTATAAAACCAGGTTTAATACACCATTTGTTACACAAGGAAATGCCTGTACCAGGTCAGAATTATTACAGTTGCTTCCATTCGCTACATCTTTTTGGTTTCTTGATTTTTCCATTTGATAAAGGACTTTCCGTTTTGAAATTCCTAGGCGTTCGGTATTTTTTTTCTTTTTTTTTTTGACTTTTTTCTTCATGTATGGCTTTTCATGAGTGACAAAATTAAGAACAAGACCTAAATGGGATGGGTTGATATTGATAAGACTTTTTATCAGAAAAAATAGTCTTACCAAAAAGGAGTTTATCCTGAACATCAGTCTGTGAATACGTATTATAAACCATTTTGCAATCGAAACTTTGTTTGAAACTTAATAAATATTTGCCATGAAAAGTTAAGCACTCGGAACTAGCATGGGTTATTACAAACTATTTATACTAATTATGCAAAACATAGTTGTGTTTTCTGCCTTCTACCTACCCTATATTTTTATACATACACGAAGCTTCACACGTATAATGGCCTTTTTTATGTGTTAAGTATTGATAAGATCAGACCTTTTTGTTAAAGCAGTGTAAAAGTGTAAAGTGTAAACGTCCCCTTTATAGTCTATTTAACAATGTTTAATACACTTTATACAACAAACAAAAAAAAAACCCCCACAAATATTTAACCGACTTGTTCAGAGACAGAAAACAAGTGCATATATATATATTGTTTATTTTACCTTACATCTAACAAACTCACACAATCTTACTATGAGAGAGAATGATCTATAGTTCAATCAACTTTTTTGATCTTATGAAATACTATTGTTTCTCTGTACTACAATCTAAATGTTGTTATTCTAATTTAATCTATGTTTATTTCAGAACACAATCCTAATTGAAACAAATGTAAAGATCACTCCGAACATCAAAAAGAAGAAATCGACTGTGCTTAAGTACAAGCCCATGGTTGGCAAACAAGATATAAAAGACAGATTCCGTCTGTGATACATGTTTTATATCAAATACACTAAAATTAAAAACGTATTTGTCTAAAACGTTTCAAATACATTTTTGATAATAAAAACTTGTATTTTTGTTAACTTGGAAAGAAAGAAAACAACACGTTATAAATTTCATGCGTCCGAAGCGCTTTTCGGGATTTATCTTCATTAGGAACGCTAAAGGCCAAATATTTGAAGCCACGGATGTATAAGAACCGAAACAGTTGAAGAGCTATATAATCAAAAATAATAGCCAACTTTGCCAGAGAGAGTTGAAACCTAATTTCTTAATAACTTCAAAATTTATAAGTAGCAATTCTAGAAAGGTTTGTTATAAATCAAGTTACTACCGAAGTACTGGCTACTGAGCTGATGATACCATCGGTAACTGATAGTTCACCAGCAGAGGTATCGACCCAGTGCAGAGACCAATTGACGTAGAAGTTAAAAACTATAGGTCACCGTACGCTCAAATGTAAAACAATTCAAACGAGAAAACTAACGACCTGATTTATGTACAAAACAAAGAATAAAAAACAAATATAATATTCAACAACATACGACAACTACTGAATTACAGGCTCCTGGCATGGGACAGGCACACACATGCTGACGTTAGACATGTTGAAGGCGCTAACCCCCCTTTTAACTAGGGCAATTGTGCCACGGCGTGACACAAGAACAATTACACAAAGCATTAAACAAAACCAAATATGAGAAACAGCTATAAACGACAACCACTGAATTAAAGGCTTGACTTGGAACATGCATTTAAATGTGGCTAGGTTAAAAATGTTTGCGAGTACTCTACCCTCCCCTAACCTTGGACAGTGGTGTAGCAGCACAACATATGAAAAAAAAAACTATAGGCATCAGTTGAAAAGGGATTACGTCATCAGATCGATACAAAACAGAGAAGTAAGTAACAATAACACAGATCGGATGTGGCAGGGTATCTATACATCCCCAAAGCAAACAAAACAAAACACTAAGTACAGATCTGAGACAATGTGAGAGTACTCGAAGTTACTGACATTTAGTCCATAGCCAATAACAACCTATAAAAATATCATGTATCTAAGACTAAAGTATCAATCACTACACATCAAACATCCTACGGATTTAGTGTAAATACGTCATTAACAATCAGAAAAAAACATGACTTTGTGCAATGCCTAAATACAGGTAACGACAGATTGTAGAACCGTGAATGTGCAGATGTATATGTTTATAGCAATAATATTAGACTGGTTTTAATTTACTGATAAAAAAACTCCATATTTATACCAATAAAACAATATTTAAAGATCTAAATACAGTGTTGAATTGGTAACCTTTTAGAATTAGTTTATTCAAAGGATTTATTAGTTTACACAGATCGTATCTAATTTCCAGGCTCGGTAAACAACATCTCCGTAAAAATTAGGATGTGCTATTTCATATGAAATTAGTTTTCAACAGGTACAGCCACACTTCCGAACCAAATCTTTGTATCTTTTGAAAAAAATTGTAAAGGTTTCAAGTAATTTGTTGTAACGAAATCTCTGACTTAATAATTTACCTGTAAAATAGATTACGTTCATTGAAATCCAAAACGTTACTACAGAGCCTACAGACACGGGCATTTCGAGCGAGTTGTGATATGTGAACTATTAAGACCCTTTTGGTTTTCAAGCTGTTCCACTTTTACATTTCTGGTTTTCAAAGCTTTAGATTTAGAGTGTACCTGAAGATGTTATTCCACGTCTCTATCGCACTGAAATTAGCGTCAACATGTTTTACTCTCGAGGTTTTACTTTATACTTAATATGTGGTATCTCTACTAATGAATTTTAAATTCACTAGGGTATCTATCCTACCCAACGTAGCCAGTGCGTCGTTACTGGTAGGATCTAATTGACGTATTGTGTGCATATCCAGTTCATATATATATATATATAATATTATATATATATATGATCATATATTTCGTTATCGATGGTTTTTCAAACCAGAGTGTGTTACTCAGGTACAATCTCATCGAAGGGCGACAGCTCTGAGATGAGATGTGGCCGTGAAAGATCCTCGAGTTTGAAAGACAATTGATAATCTGTGTATCGCTACTTTGGCAATGACGTCATTGATGTTTATTTTGACAACAGAACGTGTGCCCTTAGCATCTAATATAAATCTTAATCGGCAATTTGTACAGTTTTCTTGTGATCCTAATGTCTAATATTTGTTAAGATTATAGACAGGACTTGAAACTCGAAAATATAAGGCCATGACGTCATTTATCAGTGTAGCAATGTCTCGTGGTCTTGTCCATCCGCGTCAATTTATGAATGAAATGATACAATCGAACAACCATCACAGCGTTTTGTATGCTTTAAAGTTGTTTTACTAACTAATTCATTTTATTTCAAATTCTCAACCGAGAAAACGTATTATTTAGGCAAATTTCCAATAACAAGAATAATGGCATTTTTAAAATAGCCCAGCGAAGCTAGCTTGATATTCTTGCTGATAACATCCGTATCCAAAACAAGAAAAAGAAAAATGCCCGTATTTTATATATACGAGAAGCTGTGCTTTCTGGTGTACTTTCAATCTTGTGTTGCAACAATGCTCAGCTTGACAACGTATTTCGTTGCATTTTGGGAAGCCGACGTTGCATTGCATTGCAAATTTTTGCAGTTAAGTTAGCTGTCCGAGACATTCCATTCTGTTATAATGACACAGTTCAAGAGCAAGACAAGAAAACATCAGAAAAAGACATTTATAAAGACTCAGAGATTATCTTCGGCAAAGTTCCAAAGGCTGAGTTGTTGAAATCAGACTACAACAATCACCTATGTCATCTTCATCCACTATGAGTAACCGTACTTACATAGTATCAACACAAGATGAAGCTTCAAGTAAAAAGTGGCGCCAAATGACGTGGTTATTAAACTCAAAAAGAGAGAATTTTGTTGTAGCGTATTCAATAATGACGTACAAGAACTCTAGCTTATACAATTAGAAAACAGACTCTGAGATGAAATAGACACTGCACCTACTATTGCCGTTGACACAAGAGACAGAAGAGTAAGACCTAAGGCTGCCAAAGGAGGGCGTTCAATTACTCAAATGTTACATACATGCGTACGTGAGTTCGAAATAGATGTAAATGAAGTAATGTCAATTCAATCAGATTTCTGAATCAAATACGAGCAAAAAAGCAAGACAAAAAGCCGCAAAAGGAGCGAGAACCTCCATGAATATAGCCGATGGAGTTATGAACAATTTTTCCCTTCACGGAAAAGTTGTGCCATCTGATGAGTAATTGTCTAGGGCAAAAATGCCAGTCACCTCTCGACCACAACTTATTATTCCAGCGATCAGAACTGTTGAACAGATATCTCTGTTCACAAAACATGTTTAACCCCGCCGCATTTTTGCGCCTGTCCCAAGCCAGGAGCCTCTGGCCTTTGTTAGTCTTTTAGGTTTTTTAATTTTAGTTCATTTATATGTTTTGGAGTTTAGTGTGACGTCCATTTTCATTGAACTAGTACACAATTTTGTTTAGGGGCCAGCTGAAGCCCGCCTACGGTGCGGGATTTTCTCGCTGTGTTGAAGACCCATTGATGGCCTTCGGCTGTTTTCTGCTCTTTGGTCGGGTTGTTGTCACTGTGACACATTTCCACTCTATTTTATTAGACAAGTGCAGGTATCGTCATATGGATGCTGAGCATGCAAGTGATAGTGATTTATGACTTGAATTTTAATTGAGACATATTATCAGTACTAGTAAACATAACATGACGGATCCCAGTGACTGATGTCTAAACAGGCAATATAGAATGTTAAAAATATGTTAAACTGCATGTGTCATGAATATAGACTTTTCATGCACAATTTAACATCGAACTTTGCTCCCGTCAGTATGCAAAATCTGGCATTTTGACATGAAGTTTTAAAAAAATACATACTTATTTATTATATATATTAAATGAGAGGAAAAAGATAAAATTAAACGCAATATTTATTTACAAAGGTTAATTTCTAATGTAGTGAACACACAAGTGGATAAATAGTTGACATGACGGTCGCGTGCAAAACTAAAATTGGATAATATGAATAGGCTAATTCCCTTGCTTTTTTCCGTGTGCGCGTAGTGATTTTGTATCAGTAATTGTTACACATATTTTTTTCTTCTATGTTATGAAAAATAGCATTTCGGTTTGGATATCATCAAATTCTTCGAATTCTGCTTATTTTTTTAATTATCATATTAATAGCTTAAACCTGTTTATCGGATTGAGACAAACGCCACGTAGTTGTAATATTTCCCACTGGATGTTTGATTATCGGAACATCATCAACGCCTTATCGGTGTACTCTCAATCTTAAGGTAGCAATACACAGTTAGGAGTGTGGTTTCGCATTTTGGCCCCTGTGGATTTTTCAAATATGAAAGTTATTGTGCAATAAAATTAATTTTTAAACAGCTGAGTACTAGTTTAGCCTTCAAAGGTGGTTTATAAGAACATCAAGAATATTTTTTACATGTTTTATGGGCTATTTTCTGTTTGACTGTCCGTATTTTCATAGCTAGACCGGCCGTAGGTCCAGAAATTAATGTTATGTTTACAAACACTTTTTTTTTCTACATGCAGTTTTTAACGCAATTTTACAAAAAAAATGAGACGAAAGACATATGATTTGTATTTGATTTCCTGATAGATATATGTAAACAGTTTCAGAAAAGGTATCACTCCAAGGTATTGAAATTCTACTTCTAGCCAAATTTGTGGGAAATATGTGACATCTTTATCCCCCTTTTTCCATTATTTTATAGAAAATAAATGCAGATTGTCGCCATGGATATACCAAAAAGATATTATATTTTAACGTGATATTCGATTTTCTTAAAATCACAAAATGGGTACATCTTCCTATATCTACATCTTGTACATAATTACAGAGAAAAAGACAAGAAAACATCAGAAGAAGACATTTTTCAAGACTTGGAGATTACCTTCGGCAAAGTTCCAAATACTGAGGAGAAATCGAGTTGTTGAAATCAGACTACAACAATCACCTACCGGTATGTCATCTTCCTTCAGTGTTACCGTACT